GGATTACTGGGCTTTGACCCTGAGGTTGAGAAACTTGGCTGTAAAGGATGAAAGCAAGAGGCTCAGAAGTGCTTCATGAAGTACCTCATTGTGTGATATAAAAACCAACCAAACTGTCACCGTTGGCAGTTGTTTGGACCTTGGTGTGGTGGGAACTTGTTTGTCTGGTCTATTTGTTTGTTGTGATGGTCTCTAAAGGGGGGGATAGCCTCCCACTCAATTGGCCTTGGGATGGAGAGTAGCTGGAGGACAGGTCATACAAAAGCGCAGTGTGACGGGGTCATCACTGTCACCGCCCAGACTTAGGGGGGATGTGCCAACTTTGTAACTGACAGCTTGGTATGGTTGCCATGTCCTGCTCTCCTCAAGTCACCATGCCGCCGAGCCATCCACCAAATCACTCAACAACATGTTTACCAACCAAAACTGGGAGGATCAGGATGAAAAAGACTGCCTCTAAATGCTGGAGGCTATAAAAGGGACAATCATCCAGCATCACAGGACCACCTTTGCAAGCAGTCTTGTTTTTGAGTGTGTGAGAGAGGCTGGGCTGGTGAGAAACACGCTGGATTTACATAGTAGCCTGCGACTTCAAACGAGGTGGCTGACATTTGAATGGACTGGTGGTGGGAGCCTCTGGTGGGGTTTTTGTTGTCATGCAGGGTGAGCCAAGGAAAGTGGGCACACATACTGCTGGGGATTTGTGTGTAGACAGCTTGTCCTGTTTACTGGACCCACAGGTTACCATAGGAGCCCTGCATTGACTGAATGAAGAACAAAACCGGTGTGATGAAAGTTGGGGAGACCATGAGATGAATGATGGGCAGGGCCATGCAGTGTTAGATAGGTAATGAGTAAGTGGGTATAACGCTGAAAGAGGACAGAGCATAACTGATGAATAACACTCTGATAAAAGGGAAATCAATAGGTCAATGAAACCTGGATGTCCCCTCTGTAGGGCAAGTATATTTAAAGCCCCCTGACTATGGGACACTGCTATCAGTACAGTTCATATTTGCTTAATCAGAAAGACAAGTCTGTATTTTAGCAACAGAAAATGGATCCATATGCAAATGCAGGATCCAATTAACATGGAGTTTCTAGATTCTCTGTACTCAGAACTCTCATGTACAGCTTTCTAAAATGCCATGTTATAAAACTTTTTTACATTCTGCTGTCTGGAAATTTTGATCATGCGCCACATCACCCTCTTTGCAAGAATGTCATATGATGCAGCATGCCTCTTCATCATTTTACCCACAACTTTAGGTCTATTCTCTCCCTTTCCTTTTAGTTTTGCCCTTAAAATCCTTTGAATTTTCCCCAGATGAGCTTAAACATCATGTTTTCTTTAAATAAAGCCTCACTATATCATGAGCACTCATGATGAGACAGAAAATCTCCATCAAAACAGAGTCCTGGCCAAAGACAGCTGTATACAAAGTTCAACATTAAAGCTAGGAACCAGAATGAAACTATAATTGATGCCTCTTAAAGACCTATAAGTAAACAAGACCACCAGCATATAGATGTACTTCTTTTGTACAGTTATATGGCTCTTTATACTGAAATAAGGTCTGCAATGTAGGTGGCAGTCAAGATGATTAACAGCAGGTTATAATTAGACATAGACATTTGCATATTTCACAGCAAATAGTCCTGATGTGTGACATGTTTGACTGTTCGAAGAGAGAAGCATGAGCTTTTTTTAAATCAGAAAACAGTACTTACACTTGAACAGGGGGATCAGCAAAGAGATTAGAGGGACGACTTTGTTTCCAGGAGGCACCAAAATCAACACAAACCAAGAGTTGCTCATAGGGGCTTTAAGGGAAAGTCAACTGACTATAAGTGATGAGCAGACTTTAGAAAAAAAGACATGCATTTACAAGTCAGGAGGGTCAGAAGGACAAGTTGCTTCATTAAATGCTCCTGTTTGCATCAAATTTGACGCCCCGTGTGAACAAAGATGTACCTGCAATCTCCCATCTAAACCTGAGACTAAAGACTGGATCATACACGTGGTTGTCCTTTCATCTGCAATTAGATGATCCCTGCATGTCACATTCATGTCAAACAAAGCTTAAGAATGATCCCAAAATATGTCTGCGGCTGAACTTCTGACCATGTCCAACCTCGACAGTGACTACCTCCAAAAGAACAAATGTTAGTGAAGCACACAGGGAACTAAAGGGAAAAACCCCTTTGCTACTGACAGTGAACACCTGTCTGCGTGAGTGTGTCCTCTGGAATGAGTGTAGTCCACTGGGACTGAGGAAGGGAAGCATGGGAGAGAGAGTGTAAACGTGTCTGTCTGTGTCAAGTATCTGCAAAAATACCCAGTCAAGGTCATACTCAAGTGGAACGTAAACTTAAATTAGATATTTAACTTTGCGCCGTACTGTATGCTCGGGTCAGGATTCAAACTGCAAATACACACAGATCCACTTCCGCCCACTCAGAGCCAGCACTTCTCTCTCCCCTCTAACAGCTTTCCTTTTCCCTGTCTGGCTGACGAGCCGTGCTGCCTGGCTCGGTGGCGGTTGCCCTGTCTATCAGTCTATTTCCAGGCTCAGGGCCCAGCGCTGAGGCAGGCAGGCAGTCAGTCAGGCAGTGTGGTGGAGGGCAGAGGGGTTGATGCGTGTGTCAGAGAGGCGCTCTCCCACATTCCCCCGGCGGCTGGCAGCAGGCCGGGCCTGTGGAGGGGGGTTTGCCTCTTTCTCACGACCTCTCAGGTTCCTGCGCTCATCTGGGAGCTATTCATTTCCTGCCAGAAAACAGCCTTCCCCTGCAACTGCAGGAGGAAGGGGGGCAGCAAGGGGAGAGGAGTTTGGCTTCAAAATGAGTCCAGGGCTTGGTACAGCAAGCCCTGGGCTTAAATCATAAAGCTCTCGCTTGTCTGGGCTGCAATCAAAGACAGCCCCAGTGACGGGCCGCGAGAGAGGGTGAGAGAGAGAGAGAGAGAGAGGGAGAAAAACCATAAGAGAGACAGAGAGAGAGAGAAGACCATATGGTAGCACTTAGGGAGCCAAGGAGGAAGCAGAGGGGCTTTTTTTCCCCTCCTTTCGCTCCCTGCATGCACGCGGAGTGTGGGAAAAGTTAATGGACACGCATGGCAGCTAACCCCCGGTCGTGTTGTGACATGTGTGCGGTCACTCCAGCAGCTCGACCACTGCACTGGGTAATTGGAGAGGCTCGTAAAGCTGTTCTTTGGAGAGGAAGAGACCACTGAAGATGTTGGGGGGTGGCTGATGTGGGGTGGGAGGGCTCAGCAGCTGGGTGTTGTCCGGGTCACACCACGTGCCTCCCAGACGTCCCGTGTCCAGCTGTGGCCTCTGGGCTAAGGGCAGGAAGCTCGACACTGGTCCAAGCACAGCTGGAATGCTGTGGGAATGTTTTTCATATGTGTGTGTGACTGTGTGACTCCGTGTGGAGAAGGTCTGGCTCACGGGAGGCCGACTGTTACCCCGTGTGGTAGGCCTTTCCTTGATCCCCCCCTCCCCTTTCCACATTTAACTCTCCACTACCTCACCCAGTGTGCCCTTTGGCCAGGCATGTCCTCACCCAGCACCTTGCACAAACACACACACTGAATCTGCACGCACAGGCACGAGCACACACATGGCTTCAATCAAACAGGGATGCATGGCCCCCCGTAAAAAGGTGTGATGGAAATTCAAAATGATGGCACTTATCCACACTTTGTGCCTCTTAGCATACTGATAATTGCAAACACCTGCGCCCCCCCCTCTCCCCACATACACCCCCTTCAAAGTAAGGGCCACACTCGGATAGCTGGAGGGGGCATACACACCTGGGCAGAACCAAGCAGAGCACTTCCACATGGCTCAGCAGTGATGTGTTTAACGTGTCCTGCCAGTGTAGACCCCCCCCCGGCATAGAGGAACTCCCTCAGCTCTGATTTAAGACGCAGCCTGAGGTCTCTCTCTGCTCTGTACAGTCAGGAGATTAATACTGTTAGCCTGATTGAAGAGCGGAAATTCTCATAATGATGATTTCTTCGCTTTTTTTTAGCTTGCTGCTGTCGGTGCTGGCTGGACTTGAGTTGGTGAGAGATCTCCTTTTCTTTGGGACTTTTGTTGGAGGAAGAAGCGTCTAACACATCTGCACTGATGAGTGGATATTTAGATTTTTTGTCAAGATCACATATCCAGACAATAAGTTTGACAAATGTTTGTCAATGCGCTCACAGAATTTACTGAAGCCTCTCTGAGGTAAACAACCAATTACTTTGATTCAAGCAATGATCAGCAGATATACTCATACCTCTTCAAATAAAAGAGGATTTGCCAATGTTCGTTTCAGATGCACCACAACAACAGCAGCCATTCATGCCCCACTCATTGATCTTTTGAATACTAATAACACTGCAATGCCCTCCTGTGCTGCTAGATGGCGTAAGTGACCTCTGTAAAGCGCCAAAGTTTCCAGCAGGATAGGTGAAACTGCTGGACTGTCATCGAGCAGCACAGGATCCTCTATTTTGAAGATTTATTGCACAGCTTTCGCTTCCTATCTGATTTGCATTTGCAGGATGCACACTTTCACAGAGTGACACATATTTAGATAAAGCCAATAAATGCAGCTAAACTCGACTGTCAACTTCACACTTATTTACTCACGATTGAGCCATAATCACGAGTGGTTGCAGGACTGTCTCTCTTTGCTTTTTCCCCACAGTTTGACAAAGTACGTTGCCATATTCAACAAATGACTCTTAAAAAGTCCAATCGAATTTGGCTCCATATTTTGTTCAGAGCTCAGCTTTGTCAAAAATGTTCCTGCCATGTTTAAAATCCAAGTCAATGAAAAGAACTTCAAAATAACCAAAATTATGAACAGCAATGAAGAGGCTGAAATGTAAGCTTATAAGCTTTAGCTATCAAAGACGTTTTAAAGTCGAGGCTTTTAAGTTTTTTAGTGAGAGGAACTACATAAGCAGGTGGAAGTGCAGCAACAACAAATAAGACAGGAGCAAGTCAGTGTTTTTTTTTATATCTTTACAAATTTATTCGTCTTCCAAAACGAAGAACATCATAAGAGCATTGAACACATCTTTGGCATCACACAGTAAAAAATACAACTCAAATATATAAAAAAATGCAGTGAACGGACTTCCACAATACAGATCTCATTTCAATATGAACTTTACTCCCTTGTCAGCTGTACAAATATAGTGCATACTCTTTCCATTTTACAAGAAAAAACGAATTCAGAAACAACTTTCTAACATTAACCAAAGAGAGGACTATAAAGTGTCATTTCAGAGTCTTTATGGTCCTTTTTCCCACTGTTCACCAGGGTCTCCACACCGAGTCTGTGTTGCCCGACGGGGCTCCGGGGGATACAGCAGCCGGCACAGGCACCGGCGTGCTGACGTTGTTGGCGTACACGGGGATAACGGGGCCGTTTGGCGCAAACGCAGCGTTGGGTATGAGGAATGCAAACTGTCCGTCTGTGGCAGGCACAATCTGGAAACCGCCGTACACTTTGGTGGCGTCTGAAGGTAAATTAGCCGGCGAGGAGCCTCCTTTACAAGACACTGCGTTCATGGGGAGGACCTGCGGGGACGAGCTGGGAATCTGCACCATGGACTGGCCGAAGGAGGGGTGGGTCGGCCCGGCGCCGGATGGCAGCTGGTGCTGGTGCTGATGCTGGCTGGGGTAGTTCATAGCGTTGATCTGGGTCATGCAGTTAGCCAAGTGTCCGAGGAGCCGCGTCCTCACCTCGGTGTTGACACCCTCGCATGTGGACAGGAATCGTGTGACTTCATTCATGCACTCGCTGAAACCCGCACGGTATTTCCCCAAGACAGTGGGGTCGGTGTTCAGTGCAGCTGCAGAGAAAACAGAATACGTAAGTCGAGATATATTCACATGCTTACACCGTTTCATTTGTAGAATTTCAAAAATGTAAGCCACTAGATGCATTGATTTCACGCAGAAATGTTATTCTGCACCTGATACGATCCAAACGCACAGGCTAGACACAGATTAGTCCGGGAAATGCGACTTACCGGTCATCTGAGCTCTCTGGAGGTTCCGCAGATGCTTCACCGTCATCTCCAGGATGTCCGCCTTCTCAAGTTTAGAGTGTCTGGAGCTCTGAGAGGACGGAAACACACATGGTTAGGATTACGAGCTCACTTTCCCCTCTGTTTGACGGAGACACTTCTGAAATCTATTAATAACCAGGGAACTGAGCGAGTACTTACATCTTTTTTGAGAGCATCCAGGATGAGAGTCTTCAGCTGTCCCAGACTCTCGTTGATTCTGGCTCTTCTCCTCTTTTCCATAATAGGCTTGGATGACTGAAGATAAAAACAAAATATCATGAGCGGTTGAATATCTATGTCATGTTTCGTGCGTAAAGGTGCGTAAAACTTTGGCACCATATGTGTGCAAAACTGTGAGGCTTACACTGGTAGATAAATGCATCTCAGTAAATAAAATACCAACCTTTCGGTGCTCAGAGGCTGTCTTGGGTTTATCAGGAGTTGTGTTCATGCTTGCCGGGGTTGCAGCGACCGGAGAGGAGGAATTTTTTTCCATCATATCGGCAGGCATCTTTTTATCGGAAATATCCCACGAAAGCGCAGCAAATTACGATCCAATATAGGAAGGGAAAAGGGCAGTGAGTGTTTTCAGACTCCCTTCCCTCAAAAAAATCCTGAGTTAAATCCGTCAGAGCGATGAGCGGCAGCAGCAGTTCGCAGGAGCGGATGCAGACTCTCTCTGTTGGGTTCTCCGCGTGTGGCTTGTATTTATATCTCGCACTGCACGCGAACGGCTCGTGTGAAACTTCCCAAACTTTCTTTCCCACAGTAACTTTCCACCAATCAGGGCGAGGGACACGCGGCCCAAGGGAGGACGGCTCGTGGTCGGCGCCCTCCCATTGGTTGTTTGGCCGCTTGAGCTGGCGGCCAATGGCGCGAGGCCCGGGTTCAGGGCACAGCCGGGGAAACTGCCTTCAGTCTTCAATCATCGTACCGTTTACATATTAACAGTGGAGCCGCTGACTGGGCACCAAGACCGGGAGCAGGCAGTGGACTTTTTATCTACCAGGCAACAGATAACAGTGGAAGAAATAACAACTTTACTGTAGAAAAAAGTTTGAAATATGTGCTCAATCTGTTTTACACACATATATAAAACATTACTAATAACTGATAATGATAAAACAAAGTGATTTGCTAATTTTGATAAGTTCTGGCTGTCCAATGCTGTCTTGGTCAGGACATAAACAGACCCATGCATGATTAAAAATAAAAACACCATTATTAGGACATCTGTCAGACAGAGTTTAGGACGTGTTTTGAGGGCACGTGGGGGAGTTTTATCCCCTCCAAACATGACAAAATCACCTTTGTAAAAAGTTAGAGGAAACAAAGCAACTTTTTATCCCTCAAAACCACAAAGGTGACGAAGTTTAAAGCGCATAATGTCCCTAGGTAGCATTATTCAGCCTGAACCCATAGAGAAATGAAATTCAACTGGCACGCTCCGTCATTAACCACTGTAGTTTCCCAAACTCTGTGGTACAAAAATTTGGCATTTAACCATATACCGGTGTTGTGAATGTAGAGCACGTGCCAGGATGTTTTATGAGCGCGGTGGTTGGAGGTTTGGCCGCCGGGCTGCCGGGGGGCCGCCGGGCCAGGGAGGAGGCTGGAGGGGTGAGGAGAGGGGAGGGTGTGTGGCGGCGGTGGTTTACATTAGAGGGGAAGGTAAATAGCAGCTGCTGTTTTAAAAGCCTGGGAAAACCACGCCCACAGAGAGAGCTGGATCGGGCTCCCTTATCGGAATGTGAGCCAGAGCAGAGATATTTCTGAGCCCGGAGAGCTCACACGATCAGACCGATGCCTCCTCCTCCTTGTCCTCCTTCTCCCTCACATCGACCTCCTCCCGGTCTGGTCTCTCCCCTCCAACTCCCCACCTCCCCTTCAAGTTTTTTTTTTCCTTTTTAAATTTCAGGTCATAATTTTATTTGCTTATCTTTATTACAGCTAAAGGGACGCATGAACAGACTAGTAGTAAAGATAGAAATAAACAGGGGCCATAATTGCGTCTCAGAAGTTTATTGTGGGCAGCGTCTCTTTTCCTTCAGGTTGTACGACTTTACGCACAAACAGGCACTTCGGTCAATCTGTACCTACTTTTAAACGAGTGGGTAAAGTTTGAGGTGTCACTGATCGTGTTTTCCAGTTACTCAAATTATGAATATTAAGTGATTTAACCACTGAGAACTCCTATACTATACTGAATGCGAAGGAGTAACATTAAAGAAAGATTACTTTTACTTCCATATCGCAGAACAACTATGCGCGACTTCGGTTATACAAAACACACACATGACAGAAGCAATCCGCAAACGAAACAAAATGTATTTATAAAGGTAACCCTCCTTTGTTTTTCTCCTTGAAGGCTACGGAGCCCCTGCATGGGCTCTCCGCTGGGCGCGCACACCTCCAGCTGCTGCAAAGACCGCGACACGTGGCGCGCAGGCGACCAGAGGAAGGCGCTCCTCTCGCCGGCTTGCCGCCTGGATCTGTGGGGCGTCGCCGGCGGCTGGCCGCAAGATCGTGAATTTGATAGGCACCGCGGAGCTGCAGCGCGGGGGATCCGGATCCTCAGCTGAGCACGGGAGAGGCACAGAAAGGGGTTTAGTTTCTCTCCAAGTCTACACTTGAGCATGCAGCAGTAAATTACTATGTCTGAGAGGAACTAGCCCATATGACATCACCGCCAGCAGCCTGCAGACGCAGATGAATTATGTTTTGACGGCGAAGTTCAGGCAACATTTTATGTCACTCCAAACATTTTATTTCCACGCGTTTCGCAGCTGGTGATTTCAGCGCGATAGGCTATATAAAGAAAAGACAGTTTAATTGAAAAACATCAAGTTTCAAAGTTCCACACGCTCACAGCTTTAATGTCAGACTGAGAAACTGTCATGTGGAGACATCAGAGAACCCTCACACGTGTCGTGTGTGTAATTGCAAACTAGCTTTTGGCAGGAGGGGAGGCTGGTCTGAACAAGCGCCTAAACCAGCTCTAATCTCGAATATCCTTCATGCGCAACAATGCAGCCTCTGTCAAACACATCGCTAACATGTCTCATTGTTGTGAGCCGCACACCTGACTCATTTTCCCCGCACAATGCCACTGACAGAGTTCCAAAACAAACGCATTGATGTGAGGCAGACAGAGTTTTGAAACGCGCTCCGCCTCACTGACTTTCTCACGCTCACGTTGCAAGAGGTCTCCGGTGTTGGACTGAGTCACACAGCTTTGGTTCCGTCGCTCCCTCCTTTCCCCCCCGTGGGTTGGACATGTTACTGTGTGCACCTGGTTGCTTTAACTCCCCTGAGAGTTACCTGTTGCTCTGTCTTAAGAAATGTGTGGGAAAGAGGCTGACTAACAGAGCTATCTGTTGTAGGAGCGCCTGATCACATGGTGTTTGGAGATACTTTACAGATCAAAAGCACAGTCACAATGGTCCGGCCAGAAGAGAGAAAAACAAACAAGCATAGTCCTTTACTTCTTTTTTCCAAATTTGGGACATCTGGACACTCTGCATCTTCCCACACTTATTTTTTAACCCGTGACTTCCTCCCCTCTTCTGTCCCTTCACCAACTTCCATTCATCTTTATTTTCTCTGGTTTTATCTTTTTTTTTTAATGCCCCCTTTTTGCCACCCTCCCCTCTTTATCTCTCTCTTCCTCTTTTTTGTTCCACCGCTCCAGCCTTTCCCAGGATCTCATATCTTTATTGAGCCCTCTCGACCATGGACCTCTACACACTGCAATAATGCAGCAATAATGCAATTAGGCAGGGAGATTGTAGGGGCTAAAGTGTGTGTGAAAGTGTGAGATACTGCGCTCACAAAACAGTGTGGCCCGCTGTCACTCCCTGCTCATGTCTAATGGATAAGCTATTGGTGAGCAAAGCTGCCGCCAACGGGCCCTCCTGGTGCCACAAGGGTGACAGGGAGTGTGCGTGTGTGCGTGCGTGTGCATAAATGCCTATGCTGGCATTTAAGCTTTATTACTGGCTGGCAAGCTGAGTGGGAAGTAAGCAGGCAGTCAGACAGGCTGTATCAGGGCCAGTCTGGAGGTGTCATGTGGCTGCTGCTGCCAAACTGAGGGTGGCACTGTGTTGATGCAGACCTGCTGTCCCAAGAGGCCGACACACAGTTGTTGAGTGGCTTGGCTGATCTGACAGTTCACACTGTGATAAGCATGGCCAGCAAGTCACCAGAAATCTCTTAATTTACATCAAGGCACACTCGTCAATCGGTGCTCGGACACTGCTCATCATATACTACTGACACTTACAGGTTTGTTTGGAGATAAAAATGTGTGGTAAAAATGTCACTACAGCAGGTGGAGATTCACTGTTACCAAGAACTTTTACTTGGTAATGACACAAAGATGATGGAAAATCCATACAGCCATCTGGAAACGTTTATTCTTGTCTCTAAAATAGGTAGATTAACAACAAAAACTAAGTACTTTTGTGATTGCATCGTAACAGGTGACAAAAATGGGGGTGGGGAGCAAGCCTACGTCTAAAAACTGCAGCTCTTCAAGTGTAGTTTGAGGCTAGCTGCAAAAACCCAGGGATACCTACTGGATCCCATGTTAAGATTTCCAGTAAGATAAAATCAAAGGAAAGATGTAGACATTTGTAAAATCAGGGTAACAGCTGAATGATGGAAAGGTGTTGTAGCTGCCAGGAGGCTGAAAGTCCATCTTAGTTTCAACTCTTTGACTTTGTCAAGGTTGATCAAAGGCCCGGTTGAGTCAGCATTTCTTATGTTAACTCCTATATATAGACTACCAACATAGGGCTTCAAAATGTCTCTAGAAACTAATGGGTAGTGTCACACAGTATGTTAACATGCACAGCTAAGTCGAGCAATGGTTATAGCACAGTTAGGCAATTTAATTTAGGGCGACCATATTCTGACTTCCCAAAAAGAGGACACGACTACACAGGGGCAGAGTCAGGGAGTCACACAAAGTTAATTTTGAGAGTTTATCAGGTCGGGTCAAGTGTCTTTTACGTGCTTCTAACTCAGTAAGTCCACGTGACACAAAATCAAAACTTGCGTGAAAACCCCGGACATTTGAAGGATTTCATAAACTTCCTCAAACAAAGCTGGACAGCCTCCCAAAAAGAGGAAATGTCCGGGTAAAAGAGGATATATGGTCACCCTGATTTAATTGGACTTCTGTCTTTGCTCCAGTTTAAACAAACTGAGCAAAAATTCTATAAATGACAGAACCTCTGCTATCATAGGTGGCGACATGCCCCCTTCAGCTTGTTATTTTCATGTCGCCTCCTGACTGATGTATCAACACAGCCAGCAAAACACGTTAGCAAGAGGCAAACTTTGTCTTTTCACTTCCTTTCATCATTTGTCAAGATTTTATTTACTACCTAGCTTCCTAGTAATGCATCCTTGCTATTCAACCAGGTGTGCAAACACTGGAGCATGTGCAGAACACTTGGGCCAGTTTTAGCTCACTTGAACAGTAAGCATGACAGAGAAAACTGATCCCTCACTGCATTATCCAGGTATGTCAGTCAGACTGTGGGAAGTTTGATTTCAGTCAGACTACAATGTTAACATATATTTTTTAGAAGTCCAGTTTCAGTTGGACTATTGCAATGAATTGATTTATGTAAGTGCATGCAAATGTAATGACAGAGACCCCAATCCAGCTCAGTTCAGTTGTCACATGCTATGCAGGTTCACAATTTGTACTATGTGTTAAAGAATCAAAGCATAAAGGTATAAACCTGCATGACGTATTTATCGAGTGACTTCAGGAACAGTCACTTGGTGCTGGTGATGCTCTCCAAAAATTAGAGAGGAAAGAAACACTGCAAATTCAGACTAAGCAAATATGAAGAAGTACGGTGACAGACTATGTAGACGATTATTGAGATTTAAAGCAGAAACTTCGGCCCTGACTCACACAAATGTGCTGAGTAACATTGTAAAAACATTTCTTTTCATTGGAAACTACCCAAGGTACTAATGCCATGCATCCTTGCAAGAGCTCAATCCTCCCTTTGACCTTTCAGAACTGTCATATTTGAATAAAATGTATAAGAACGGCTAAATACTTCAGCCTACTTTTGACTCTGAGAAAAACAAACTGTATCCACAATAGAACCACTTTCTAGCTGCTCCGGCACCACCTACAATTTTCAGAATAGTGTGACCCATCACCCAAGCAGCTCAGTGTGTGAGCGCAGGGTTTCAGCAAACACAGAGTTGTGTGAAAGCGATAAGCTTCAACAACTTTCAAAAAGCGCTGAATGATAGCAGAGCCAGTTGTTACCGATTTTGGAGTGTGCGAGAAGGAGGAGAGGGGGAGTGAGAGGAGCAGATAGTGAGAGTGTTTGTGTGTGTGTGTGTGTGTGCGTGTGTGTGTGTGTGTGTGTGTGTGTGTGTGTGTGTGTGTTTGTGATTGAGCGCACACATCATTCCAGTGTGGCATGAATGTGTGTTATTAGTGGGAGTGGAGTAGGACCTGTGCTCAGCTGCTGTTAGCGAGGCCAGCCAAGGCTTGGAGAGCAGGATCAAAGCGGGGACAAAGAGAGAGAAGGAGAACTGACAGATCCTCCGAGCAGAGAGAGAACAGAAGGAGGAGAGAGAGCAGAGGAGATGAGGGGGGTTTGGAGGCTCTCCAGATACAGCCGCACACATCGCTTACCTCCCCTCACACACACACACACACACACACACACACACACACACACACACACTCACTCTCAAACTGAGGAGCCTGAAGCAGCCTGGGAGCAAGGAAAACAATAAGTACAGTGGATGTACTCACGCTTTTTTTTTCCTCACACACACATACACACACAGAAAGATCAGCACGGGTCACTGTAAGCCTCGCAGACACAGGCGCTGGGGTCCGTTTTGGCTGGCTTAAACAGAGAGAAATGTTTTAAGGCCCCAGTGCGGGGCTGTAGGCCGGAGCCTCCTCCCCAGGCGGCTACCACTGACTCCCTCCACTTCTCTCCTCCACTTCAGAGACCAAGACGCTCGCTCTCCCTCTAGGGGTCTCTCTCCTTTTCTCTGATTCCCTCCTGCTCATCTTTGCCCCCCCTCAACACCACCATCAACATCCCCCCAGCTTCCATCATCCACGTCACTCCACCACCACCACCTCCTCCTCCTTCTTCTTCTTCTCTTTTCCTTCCTTCCCTCCATCCGACCCTCTCCTTTTTTTTTCTCTGATGCCTCCTGGAGCAGACCGGCGCTGTTTTGCATGTGTGGGGGAGGTTGGTGTAGCGCTGAGAGGTCAGAGGTCACGGTGAGTCAAACCCAGCAGCGATGGAAAGGAAGCGGTTGGGGAGAGGACCAGTGAGTTGGCCTGGGTCTCCTGGTTAGTATGCCTGAGGCTGGGGCGAACTGGGAATACGGCTGCTTCTGCTGCTGCTGGTGCGGGTGCGGGTGGGGGGGGGCGAGGGCCACTCATGCAAATGCTGTGTAACCACCATTAACTGGATGTTCCGACTGCAGACACATTTGTATACAGAGCTCAAACTGTCAGAGATAAAAGATAGCGTGGCATCAGATTTACATTTACATGTACTTTTACATTTTGCATCTGCATTTAATTAGATCTCTTAGGGTTATAAGGCTACAGTTAAACATGTAAGTATTACTATATATTCACAATTAACTTCCCAGAGAGGCACACACTGGCCAAGTAAGGCTGATGTTGGAAAAAATCATGCCTTTACACGAGGATTTTCTAATTGATCTCTCTGCACAAACAAACAAAAACCACGCTGAAAACAGCACTTTCCTTTTTGATCCATTTAACAAGCCTGCTGTTTTATTTTTCTATCCATTAACCATCAGGTCCTCATAAAACTGAAGGGGGACAATAATCACTGAGTGTTTCTTGTTTACTCTCAGTGAGTATTGGGACATTTGAATTACAGGTGCATGAGGCCTCCTCATTTCCTCTAGAGGTGGCCGTTTGTTGACTGTAGATAAGACGGCCGGCCTTTGAAGAGGCGAGTTACACACACACACACACACGCACACACACACACACACACACACACACACACACACACACACACACACACACACACACACACACACACACACACACACACACACACACACACACACACACACACACACAATAACAGCTCCCTAAACTGACAGCTTGATGCAGTGAATCATTATCTCTAATGGGCCTAGTTCAGTGTAAACAAACATTCCCCGAGTATTGATGCAGATCTTTCCCATGCAGTCGCTGATCAGCCCCGTCATCGCCTCAGATAAAAATTCAGGGTTTATTTACATTTGCATGAAGGTGATGAGTTTAAACTTTTGTTGGAGGATGGAGGTGAAAGGTTAAAGTAAGACAGGTTGAACAGTTTGAAGGCCTGATTAAAGTGTAATAAGACTCTTCAAGCTGTCACGAACACTGCTGCACTGACTGTACTTCCATCTTTAAACTCCTGTGAGGTGTTACAGACTGATCATGGAACAGAAACTGATACTAATGCCTCTTTAGGATCTTAAAAAGGACATGGATCTGTCATCAAGAAGACTGACTATAATGTGATCGTAATTTATTATGCCTAAAAACACTGGCAGCGGTTCAGTGTTGGACAAGGCAACAAATGGTACGCTACTGATACGACCTTTTCTCATGTTTAATGATATATTTGGCCGTTAAAAGAAGGCAGGATAATACTTTTTTGACAAAACACTAATTACACATATACAAAATCAGTAAATACTACTACTCTGAATTAAACATGCAATGATAGGATGCAATGGAATCTTGTGGAGAAGAATAGAAGAAGACGGAAAACCTAATTTTAGATAAATGACCCATTTTAAAAATACATCACTAACAGGACAGAGATTGTACAATCGCTTCTTGTTGTGTTAAGAGTCAACAAGGTCCTGCTCTACTTAAATGTCCTTAAGCAAGGCGCTGAACTCCTCTTGGACCTGCACCTTCCCTACAATAGCTGCCCCTGACCTTTGAACTCCCTGGAAGGAAGAATGCTCATAAGAGTCCCACAGTGGGAATCAATGGGGTATTACATTGTTATCACTCTAACCTGATTATAACTAATGACCTGAGTAATAATTCATCACAGCTCTAAGTTTGGCTCCTGTTCTAACCTGGCAGAGGGCAGAGCTGTCTGCTTGGAGGCCTTAGGAGGCCCCAGAGCCCTTCTTTCTCCTCCTACCTGGGCCAAGGCCAACCTTATCAGACATGAGGGCCCCGAGGATTATTCCCCCCCCCCCCCCCAGAGCATTAGCCTCCCTCCTGGAGAAAGAGGGCAGCCATCTCTCCCTCCTCTCTTCCACCTCAAGCCCTCGTCTCCCCCCCTTCGGCCCTCACTACTCCACCTTTCCCGTGGGAGTTTGCAAAGCCAGGATAACCTTGAGACCTCAGCTGGTTCGCTGCCAGAAACATTAAAGAAATTCCCTCCTTCCCTCCTTTTCTCTCTCTCTAACCTCACCTCTCCTGTACACCCCCACCCTGCTCCCCCCCTCAACCCCCACCCACCTCCAGCCTTCCTCCTGATCACCGGGACATTATTTTTTCCTCCTCGTTCCCTCTTCTCTCTTCTCCTCCTCCCCTTCATTTTTTAGGCCCTTTTTTTTGCCTTCTCAGCCTCCTCTGATTGTGACTAAGATTAGCCCTTTTTTCTCTCTCTCCCTCCCTCATTTCCTCCTTTCTCATCTTCGACAGGAGAAGGAGGGTGGGGGCTCGGGTAAAGTAAAAGAAGCGGCTGTTCACATAATCTCCGGCGTAGTTGAGTATTATCTGCAGACTGTCGAGCTGCCAATTTCAATTTAGTCAGCGCTGTTATCAGGCCAAAAATAAGCGCCTCATTTGAAAGGTGGAAATCAAACTGTCCCGACAAGAGGGATGACTGACGTTGATTGCAAACTAACTGTTTTGGTGGCAGCCTGCACTTTGTGTGGCTTTTGTCTCTAGCCTCTTGCTCCCCCTCCTTTGCCTCTCTCGCTATTCTCTGTGTCGGCTTCACGGCTGTCATATTCCTTTAGTGCTGGAAAGGTCAAGTGCTGCTTGCTGCCTGTGAGATCTAAGGGAGCTCAGGGATATTCGCCCCCCCCCGACACCACCTTGCTTTGTGGCAACAATGCTCCTCGCTGTGAGCTCCCCTGCACTGCCGCTGGCCGGCAGCAGCAGCAGTAACGGTAGCGGGCAAGCCGGGTAGCGGAGGAATGTGTTTATCCCCTGTAGTTAGCTCCCTCCTTTCAAGTTCCTCGCTCCTCCAAGTTGATCTGTTTTCAGCGCCTCACAGAAAAGGGGCCCTGTGCGGGACGGCAGCTGGGATCAGTTCAGAGTGTTTATGGTCAAGAGAAATGATAAGTAATAAAGACGAGAGGGAGGAAGAACATGAAAGGAAAAGTAATGATTTAAATCTTGACCAAGTTGGGCTACTTTTTCACTCGATACCGTAACAGTAGACTGCCTTCAGACATGTTGTGTTTTTGTTCAGGGGGTCAGAGCTGAGGCTTTTATCTGGCCCTGAGATTCTAACAAGGAAATGAAAAGAGTTTACAAACAGCCGAGACGGCCTTTGTGATGGTTTCCCATGACATCACTTCTGACAGGGCCTCAAGGGGCTGTGAAGCGAACACCGTCTTCGGGACACACACACACACAAAGACATGCACACACAGGTATGACCTCATCACCGCCACATTCCTGGTTTCACCTTGCTGCCCCCATCCTCGCTAAGTCGCTCCCTTTCAGTCACTTTAACACCCTTCTACCTTCTCCTCATCTCCCCCAAACAGCCACACCCATCTCCTGACTCCATTGTTCATTGTGAGAGAGCTTCAGCTTTCAACAAGAAGATGACCTAACCATAGACGCCGCAAGACCGCCGGCCTGCTGGATACAACTCTTTCAGCCTCGCACAGGTTGCAGCAATCAAGTTTCTCCTCTCCACCCACTCTCGCCTGCACACACTCATCGTTGGGCACAGGATTATGGTAAAGGCCATTGACATGTAAGTGGTTGTTGGAGTCAAGTGTTGGCAGCTGCGGTGTTAATTTCAGTGATTTAAAAGGTCTGGTTTGTTCAGCACATATTCGCTGAGGGTCATTAGTTGGTGCTACCGTCTTCACAGCATGGCTCTGGAATGAAGAAAAGGATAACTAGCACACATGAAGTTTGTTCATTCAACAAAACCAAACTGTGCAAACTTTGTCTGCACATCCACTTCAGTGTTCCACTCCACTTAATCCATATTAGATAGCACACTCTTTACAAGCTACCTTAATGCGTCACATATTAGCTGTGTCAACATCTCAAGTCTCTGAGAGGCTGATAGCATTTTGTAAGAGATGTTATCAGAGGTTCAGTGACTCTGAAAGAAATTTCTATTTATTTCTCTGGTAAAACGCCACTGCAACTCAACCAGTATGTGCACAGTGACGTTGAGTTACGGTCATAGCTCCATTTAACTGGACTACTGTCCTTGTCCCAGTTTACAAGCACCAGGCATGAATGGAATATCAACAGAGGCACATCTGGCTTTATTACAGCTGACTATCAGCTTGTTACTATCAAGCCGTCTCCTGGTTAACCCATTATGTATCAAAACAGTTCGCAAGAAGCGCTGCCTAGAGGCAAACAGGATATCTGTCAAACATTGAAAACACCGTCACTTTTCACAGCTATGTACTGTTTATTTGTAGGATAGAAAAGTTTGGTAACACTTTACTTGAGGCCTCTCTCTATAACGCATTATATATAGTTATAAACACTCATAAATGATCATAATGCTTTATAGCAATAATCATAACACATAATCATGACTTAAAAGGTCAGATATTATAATGTGTTGTAACTGTTAACAACTCACTGACAATGCCCACATAGATATGCATTATACATGTATTTAGGATGTGTTATAATTTACTTATAAACTTGTGTAACTATCATTATAAACACTCATTTATAATCATAAGGCTTTATAACAATAACCATAACACATGCAGTGTTATATACAGTGCTATAATGTGATTATAATGTATTATACATGTACATATATTTATAATGTGTTATAGAGATAGGCATCAAGTAAAGTGTTACCAAACTGTTCATCTTTTTTTATGTTCTTTCTTTGTCTGTCAAGGTTTTGTTTACGACCAGGCTTTCTAGCTATGCATTTGTGCTATTTAACACACAGGAGCATGTGCAGAACGCTGAGGTTAGTTTTAATCCAACTAATCTGTAAACATGACAGAGAAAATCGATAGTATTGTTTTGTAACTTATAGTTGTGTCATACCTGGCAGGTCCTAGCCCTAGAATACAGACTGCTGTATGACCTGACTGAACTTTCTCTTATATTCAGTGACATTTGAGATGACAAAATTTTTGTTTCAAGCTCCTTCTTTATCATTATATTTAAAACAGTACAGAGTCCTCTAAGGTGAACATGAACACTTAGCTCTTACTGGAGAGATTGACTGCTTTATTCCTGAGGGGTCAAGAGATAAGAAAAAAAGACAACACACTCAAGAACAACTATAACCACGAGCTTTTCTCTTCATGTAAGGAGAAAAATAGAAAAAAAAAAACCCTCTCTCTCTCTCTCTTTCTCTCTAGTATCTAGGGTATGTAAACAAAAGCAGCCAAGAAAGCGGTAATATTATGCCAAGGCCTTGTTTACAAGTCCAAAATATTTCCGTGGACAGAGGCAATACCTGCCCTTGCTCTCTTTCACCAAGAAAGAAGATATTCCCATTTGTTGTTATGCAGCTTTTCTGCCTTTAGCGCACTTAGCGTGGATTGCAGGGGGGTGTCGGTACTCTCGGTCTACCTTCAACCTCCTGCTTTGTCCTCTGACTCTATTGTGTGGTAGACCACGCTTTATCCTTACCACATCATGATTTTTTTTAGATATTAAAAAAGAGCTAAAAAAAGTCATTAGTCAGGCAAATTTCTCCCTCATTAACTTTTAAATTGATATACTGAGCATTTCTGGTACTAAGACTCTGGGGTAAATCAGTCAGATCTGTAAAACTATGGGGAAAGCCTTACTCACACTAAAAAAAATGTACAATTTTACATCTGTGTGGCCATGGCCATCTTCTGAGCAGATTGGGAGAAGCAAAAATTGCTCATAACTTATCTGACACCACAGGAAAGCCTGATTCATAGTTGCAAAATATTTGCGTATATAAATTAAACATGTGGGAGTATTCGATCACTGGCCACAGTGAGGGGTCAAGGGTTCAGAGAAAGGGCGTCACTGAGGAAGTTGGGCTCATGTCCTCGAGCAAGGTGCCTTAACGGGATTAAACAACAGCCTATCAGATCCATTTGGGATAACAACATCTGTCAAATGAACCACTTCAGTGGCCGGCCAGATAACAATCTTTCCTCTTGTTATCTAGAAATCAAATGTTGCAAACAGATCAGGAGCAACATGAAAGGGATTGCCTTTGGCACAGTGGGCTGCAGAAGCAAAGTTGTCTTGAAGCTAGAAGGCAAAGGGCAGGGCAGGGACACTGCTTGGTCAGCCACAATCTGAAAACAGCTTTTTCTTTTTTGGGCAGCATTTGAATGATTTTTTTTTTTTTTTTTACACTTGTTGTAGGCCAACACAGGCGTCACACAGGTGCCCTCTACAGAGTGAGTCATGCTTGGTAGGATGTTAAAAAGCCACTCAAACAGGATTTAGAGATTTGAGGGCCTGTTAAAGGTCAGCAGCTAGTGGGACAGATATTCAAGCAATCAATGCATACCCCAGGGAGAGTGCTGTACCGTGCAATGATTTAGCACGGTAGCAAGAGAAGTCACTCCAAGTCACAGGGGCCAAGAGAATCAGTCAGATGGGAAGTGATGGCGAAAAGTGTTTGGAAACTTTATACATTTCGTTTATGTTCACGAAGAAGTGAAACCAGGTCACATTTCCCACGCACAAGCCAGCTACTCCCATGAGACGCCCCCTAATCCACATCCGCCCTGGCCGGGCTTCTGCCCACCCAGACCCCGTTCAACCCTCGACTCTGGGACCAAAGCTTATGCTAAAAGCCTCACTTACAGAACAATATAAAAAGCTCCAGTGCCTGCGACTTATCCCTACGCCAACTGAAGTTCAACATCCTGTATGGCCAGGCCCAAACTCCCCACTCTCATCTCACCCGTCGCCTGATTTCAGCGCTCTTATACGCAGTTGTAGTCAAATCCTTCTGACTCACTCTCTGATCCCCTTTCCCTCCTTTTTCCACCCAATCCCCCTTCTACTCCTGAGTAACTTTAATTGTCCTGGGAAAGTCACGGTTGGTCCGCGGGGCACAAAGCACCAGTTTATAATTAATGTTACAGAGGAGGGATTACAGGAAGCTCTGGGCAGCTTGATCTGAGAGGCTGTGACAGAGAGTGTGTGTGATCTTCCAGCTTGAGCTAGACTCAGGCGGGCTTGCGTGAACGTGTAGGCATGTGTGTGTCTGTGTGTGTGTGCAATCCATCAGAACAATGGGGGATCTCCCTTCCTCGCACAGGCTAATTTATGCCTTCATCACCCAGGCCATCTGCCCCAAACACACACACACGGTACATCCTTTCCCTTAAGTGCACTGGAATGTGGGCAACAGGTTTCATTCAAACCTGAGAGTGCTGTTTATGTGATTGAAGAACCCAGAAGGGGTCTTGCACGGTCCCTCCCTGTTATGGGTGGAGCTGGAGGTTGCCGGTTTTGATGGAAGAAGCAGGAGAAGAGTCAGAGGAGGAGGAGGAGGAGGGGTGAGAGTGTATCTCCTGCCAGGCCAGGTGTGAGGCTGGGGGCTATGCACGTAAAAACAAGAAGAAATGCATTCTGGCACACCGAGCCAAGGATTAATACAACAACCACACTTCTGCAGGAAATGTTAATCAGACAAAAGTAGTTTTTCATACAAGAAAACAACACTTCTTTTTTTTTCTACTGTTTGTGTCAATGAGAACTGCACAACTCTTCAACTTTAGACCTCAACTTTTGACCTGCTGATTGCCAGTGTCTACCAAAATAAAGCTAAACAAAAACCAGAGGAGCAGCAGAAGCTGCTGTTTAAAATGAGAGAGGAAAATAAGCAGCAAAATAAAACTGTGGTGAAATTCAAATTATTCCAACAGTGATGAAGACGGAGGAGGAGGATCAAGAATCAGTGGGTTTCTATCAGGTCTTGCCCTCTGGCACTAAGACAGGAGCCCGGCTGCCTGTCTTTCATCATCAGCATGCGGGATCAGAGCGTGTCTTACACATCAACTCCTCTGTGTGCCGGAGTGTGTGTATGTGTGTGTGTGTGTGTGTGTGTACATCTGCGTGTGTGTAAAGAGAGGGCACGTAAGGGCCCAGACTGCCTGCAGGGCCCCCCACGCAGATGAGCAGGGGCACAGGAGCGCTTGGCAGAAAGAGGAGTGTGTTCATGAGTGTGCGTGTATGTGTGTGTCCATGATTGTGTGTACTCAGGGGAGAGAGGATGTGCATGTGTGTTTGTGTATGTAAGGGAGGGAGTGATTCAGCCAGCCTGGGCATATTTCGTCTCCTCCCCACCCTCCCTCCTTTCCTCCTTGCCTCCTGATTTTGTTCCCTCATCCATTCCTTGCTACTCACTCATTCCTTCCATCCACACACACACACACACACACACACACACACACACACGCGCACACACACCGCCTCTTACACTCAGACAGTAGCAGCCGGGGGCCATGAGCCTGCTGGTGGAAGCTGCATCGATCTTCACCCAGCTGTGGGGGCGGCTGAAAACACACACACACACACACACACACACACACACACTCTCGCATGTACATACGCACATCAGATTCCTAACCTTCGAGCGGTGGCGGTGGATGTAAGGGGGCTTGTGGTTCGACCTGGTGTGACTCCCTGAAATCTGCCAGGCTTTCTTCTGCAAACCTCTGGAAGCCTGTCCAAAACCTATGTGTTCACCCACACAAACATTTAATCACACGTTCAAACAGCCGAGAATACACCAACAAACAGAGCTGCTGATTTGAAAGCAAAGTGCTCGTCAAGGCTCTACATCTGGAGTTTCTTCGTGATGAAATGTTTAACATCCCAGAGTTGTAAGTGAAGTTTAATCTCTCATAAAAGAATGGCAGGTGAGTGTGTCCATGTGTCCACTCAAGACTAGTGAGGTAGTCTTTTAATCTTTGCAATATTGTCCTTTAATGGCCTGCCACCTCTCATTTATGGCAAACAGCACAAGAAAAGCATGCTCGGATGGTAATGGCGGGGGACTTGAGGTGGGGGGTTGAGACCTTAATCCTTAGCAAAGCCCCAATCAAAGTGAAAAACATAGGCAAGGGAAAATACAGGGAGGGGCCGGGGCCTTTAGAAAAAAAAAAGGCAAATGGGGGCAGTGATGAAAAGCCAAATATGCGCCATTCACAGAAAAGGAGGCCCTTGTTGATGTGCGGAACCTTTGAAGAAGAGAAAAGCAGAACGAGGGTGTGTGTGTGTGTGTGTGTGTGTGAGAGAGGAGGGGGGGTCACTGTATTCAGGCACATTATGTCACGGCAATCAAAACAGCGTAAAGTTGACAGGATGGGACCCCCGCGGACACACACACACGCACAAAATCATAAGTCTTCCCTCTCACCCCCCTCCTGGCTGCGGAGCATGCAGATTGTGGGAAACTGCAGCCGAGGCACGCGCCAGATAAGATCTCGCCTCCCTGGGCCTCTCTAGGGATGCAAACAGGACCTTGTTGGCACGCAGGGGACCCCCCAACCCCCACCCCCAAATATGCACATACATATATACATCCTTTTTGACCACCCTAGCCCTCACTGACCCAGTGTTGCAGCGTCTTTGCTTACGAAACCCCCCCCATGTATTGATTTGTTAGAAACACTATCCTGTCTGAGCTCAGTGAAGCTATTCACAACCACAGTTGGGTTAAAGATACCTGATTTTGAGGTTGGAAGTCCTGTTTTATTCAGATAAATCAAAGAAAGGAAGTTTCTTTCGACTGCTAACAAGATGTAGATGAAACTGCCTTCACAGGCCAAAAATGTGGCCCAATCTGTAAAACAATACGATTATCTACAAGCTCTTGAATCCTGAAAGTCTTACTCAGAATTTCAAACTAGAGCTGTCAGGAAACGGTGTGGAATAAAAATCAAACTTCTCTCTCTGGGGTCAAAGATAAGAATTTGAATGATTAAATAATATGCAGATTCCTACAACATTTTCTTTACATAAACTATGACTAACGGTGCTCAGTGAATAACATTCATTTACATTTATAAGTGGAAAACAGAATGGCTGACTGCTGTGACCTGCATGTAAAGCATTTGAGGTGTAAAATGTGCATTTTTCCAAAAACGTCAGCTCATTCAACACTCCTGGGGAGCTGATGAAGTCAGCCCTCATTAGTGTGATCATTGTGCAGAAAAGACGATGGACTGGTTCTGAGTGGGTGAACGTGATTCCCAGACTTTGTCCTAGCAGACGATGAGTAAGCTCTGAGTGTAAGGAGAGTCCCTGCTTTACAGCATCATGCAGTGATCCATCATTCTCACTTAAAAGAAATCAACAAAATGTGTGAGCAGACAGACTTAACTACACATGAGACGGATAATGTTGCTAAATCGTTTATGTGCAGAGTGTGTACAAGGAGACATGAATGAGGCTCAGATGAGGGGACAGATCCAGGGATTGTGAAAATCAGCTAAAACAGTTTTTTCATTATCTCTAAATATTTCCTCATGTCTGTTTTTTTTCCTTTTTTTAAAATTAGGGGATTTCATGCAATAAAATTGTTACTGGTCGTCAGCTCTTTGGGAACTGGCACACTGAGCTCCTGTCTTGCCCTCTCTCTCCTCTACCTGTCTGTGTGTCATTACTTTAAATCTTCATGTCCCATTACAGCCACTCACCACACTTCTTTCTGAGAGTCCCCGCTCCGCTGGTTCACAGGTTTTCTGGATCATGACAGATGGCCTGCTGCTGGGGATTTGCCTGATTCCAGCTGCTTCAACTATTAACATCAGTCTCTCAATCATTATCCCAGTGACAAAGCTGTTGTTAATTTTACAACATTTGGACTCCAGCTGCTGTAACTGATATTATCATTCCCACTCCTTTTATCAACTTCAGCCTCTTTATTACAAATGCTAGACATGCTAGATTAAAGTATGATGGGTCTACAATCATACACAAGCTAACCCTGTAAATAACATACATACTTGTGACCACATGTCTGTATGAACTGATGTTATTGCTGTTCTTTGTCTTTTTCGCTCTTTCTGCATTTCCTCCTCCAATTCCAAGTCAATGGCAGCAGATCTAACACGAGTCTGGCTCTGCTCAAGGTTTCTGCATTTTTTTTTGCCACAATAACTTGCTCAATGCTGAGATAAGACTGGGTCTTGTCTTACTGGATGATGATTTTGGTTTGATTTTGGGTCTTTATTTAAAGAATCCAAAAAAAGATTATGTCTGAATCTGCTCTTTTCATAAACCGAAACTTCCTCCCATTCAGGGAAAGTTTATTAGAAGTTTGAAATTCTAGTGAAGAGCTTATTGTTGTCTCATCTGTGTATCAAGTATTACTATAACTGACTCATGAGATCTTACCAGGGTGGGGATATTATTAAAACTTCTGTCATAGTGGCATAATAGAGGAAATAAATTCAGCCTTAAGTAAATGTAGACAAACCTAACTCCATCACACAGACACAACACACATGTCCTCAGAATTCAAAGTTGTCCCTGTACACACAGTTACACACACGCTCTACACGTTTGCTCAGTTTAATCAGCACGCACATGCAGTACATCCGCCACACTCAGCATGCTAACATATCCAACTTCTTCCCTTCCCACAAGCCAAATATTTGCTCTTGTTCAGTTACAGGCCTGAATGAGTGGATAACATCTCAGCATAGTTTTCAACCCTCTATCTCCTTCAAGCTCATGCACTGGAAATCTATCCACTGGTACGAGGTAAATGGCCACTGATGGAAGAAGGAGGAAAACTGCTTCAACATCAGAAGAAACATTACTCTAAATTAAATGTCTGTCAAATGAAATGACAAATAAACAAATAAACTTCTGAAAATTAAGAGTACATGAGGTAGAAGGACACAAACCAAACTCGATGGGGTGATTGAGAGTTAACAGGTGGATATTAGGGTCATCTGAGATGTTGCTGGGGATGAACCCTCACCCTCCCAACAAAAGCACACAACCCGCATGTTCTCCTGACCCTCGTACGGTAATTGGGCTCTCACATCAAACAGGCTTCATTAGAAGGAGTCCAGGAGCTGCTAATCCCCTGCCGTCACACACAGACGGTTTTGTGGTGCATGGCGTCCGCCACGTTGAACAAAACATCTTGAGGAAACATCAAAGCCCTCCTGATCTGCGTCCCCCAAACTTCAGATGTGTTTATGAGCATGTGTGTTTCTCACTGGCCTCTTCTCTGCCCACTCCGATGGCTGAACAGGACGGACATTTTTCTTAGCTGACAAGTCATCTGGAAACAAAAGAGCGCTTTGGTTTAAAAACATCAGACATCAGTGGGGAACAGTCTCCACTTTGGCACAATGGGAACATCATTATGCCCAAACTCTTAGCTTGGGTGGGGCCCCATCACACAGACCCTCACTTTTACTCACCACTGTAGCCTAACGCATAGATGAATTTACAGTTGACTTTGGCTGCACACTAAAGATGAGATTAAAGATGATTCCTTTTGAAGGGTTTTTAATGTCTGCTGAGGAAAAAGCCCTGTGGCACATGAACTTAATTACTCTCAAATCTACTGAAATACTTGAAGACACTTCATGTCATGCCATGACAGATATTTAATGCCAGAGAGGATTGCAGAAGGTACACACTGAGACACACTTACAGTGAGTAGATACATAGAAAAACTTGCTCTAGATATGTGCAGAAGTAACAAAACATCTATACATGGGACACCTTCCTTCTATATGATGTTGTTCTATGTATCAGGGAGGGATATTTTTCCATTTATAAAAAGGATTGCTGGTTTGATCCTTGACATGCCAACATGCAGGTGATCTCTGAAAGCAGCCTGCAGCTTTTCTGAATAAAGACAGTGTAACACCCACCTCTATCATATCGTTTATTCTCTTTTATTAGCGGGCTAAGCTTTTCAGCAGCTGTGCTCCCGATGCCTCCATTGACAAACACACAAAACTGGCAGAAGATAAGAGACACTCCACCACACCTAGACCAGCATGAACCACAGTGTCACAAAGAAACATGTTTTCACACACACAGACACACACACTTGGACAAAAATATTCTTTCCCACCCATCCCTTCCTATCTCTGCTGACCTGACTCATCAGTCCAGCTGACCTCTTCAGCCACACACACACACACACACAGGCACACACACTGAGGATGTGCTGACAGGGAAGAGACTACCGGCTCTTAATTAGCAGGAAGTTGCAGTGTCAAGGTGTCACAGGCGTTTAGTGCAAGCGAGCGCTGCTGGTTCGTCCTTCTATTGATTCCCTCCGGGAACGCTTTGTTGTCGCTTTCCCGGCATCAAACGCTCGCCCGCCATTCACTGCCTGGACCGCAGCCGTTTTTCCTCCCTGCTGTGTTTGATTCTCTGCTAAATGAGAAACACAGCCATTTAGAGACTCAAATGTTCTGATTTTGACCCCACGCTTGAAAGCTGGATGAAGAAGGAGGAGGGAAAAGAAGAAGGGGACAGCCTAATTGCCAATTTGGGATCCTCCATAGCAGATGGGTACTCAAGTAAGAAATGATTTGGCCTGCCTACTTTCATCTTCCCATCTTCTCCTCGTGTCACCTCCCTCCACCCCAGGTTTCCTTTGCAACCTCTTATTTTCCTGCTTGTCAGGTCTTTAACTCGCACAAATACACACACTGAGCTGTGAGTGTGTTGGTAGGGGTGGTCCATGTGTCAGTTGACAGGGGCCAGTGGGTGCAGCTTTGTAGAGCAACTTTCACCAGGCTGTGTCCTACTCTCAAAAAAGGCGACCCTGGCTTCCTTTTAGACCCGATAGCATAAGCATAACATTTATTTAAGGTAGCGTTAAGGCTGGAGGGGGGGCGGTGGTAGGAGAGAGAAAGGACTGGACCAGACAAAGTAAGACAAGTGACAAGAAGGGAGAGATGGAGAACTACCAGAGCTCATTACTATATTTCTGTTCTGGATTTGAATCATAAAACCTTGTGAAACCTGTCTCTGTCAGAGGTTTTGAGTTTGTTTGTTTATGTGATATTCAGCTTAAGGTGTACATCAGCCCTCAGCTTTGAGCCTGTCCCTCTACCTGCCGGACTTTGTCTCAGGGACTGATAATACCTGATGAGCCAAACACGGATAAAAAAAGAATTGAACGCTGAAGCATGAGGCACACACGTTCAATCACAGTGACACGGGGCACATGGCAACACAGACACACACTCCCTGTCTTCCATAACTCCATATTGTTTGCAAGCACCAAGGGTGGAACCTTCCTCTCTCTCTCTCCCTCCTCTCTCTCAGTGCTGATGCTCGCTCAGCCGCAGGGCTGAGGAATGTGTGAGAGCCATGTGTCAAATCCCCAGACTGTGGGAAAGTGCTGCTCTCTGCTGAACTCCGTCCTCCCTCCCTCTCTCCTTTCCCTCTGTGCCTCCCTCCCTCACTCCCTCCCTCTCTTATTTCGTTGGACTGCTCTCCAGGCGAGCGCCTTGCCCTGCTCCAGCCCTGTGCGAGTGTGTGTGCATGCAAGTGTGTGTGTGTTTGTGCGCGTGCCTCCCTGCCTCGCAGCACACAGGAAGTGAGCGGAGAACGTCTGCCAGCGGAGCTCCGCCTGGAACTGCCGCTTCCTGCAGACAGTTTCTATGCCAACACCAAGCCCTCAAAAACACACACACACTTTCACACACACATATAAGAAAGCGTATCAACTCCCCGTCAGGCACAGCCAAGATGCCCTGAGAACGAGGCTGCTCTTTCCCCCTCTTTCTCTGTATGTTTATCTCTGTCTCCCTCTCTCTGCCTCTTCCTCTTGAACACAAACACTGACATCTTCTCTCTCTATGTACACTGCTTTTATTGCTTTGAGGATCCGGAGCTGCGGCTAAACACTCAGTTTCTTTGATGCCTGCCAACAGGCCGGATAGTGGCTACAAATAACAAATTGTTCAACATAAAGCTATAAATCTCCAGAGCATCGAGTTTCAAACATCCACCAGTCTCCTCTTAGAAAGTTCACTTTGCTCAAACTAAATTTGCACATGAGAACTTAAAACTTTAATTCTGTCTGTGCACGCTTTTAGCTGGCAGCCAGTCTGGTCACTTTTCTGTACTAACTTGACTTGTTCATTTTTATAACTTTTTTTCTGTCTCCAATCAGGTCAGTTAGTGTTTTCGGGCATTTATGACTTTATTATTGTTAAACCCACTCTCTTGTCAGAAAATGGTACAATCACATTTCATGATGTATTTAAGGTGATAAAATGAGTATTATAAAATGATTTAAAAACAACTCCAGATGTCTTGTTTTTCTCTTTCATCCTTTTTGATGGCTTCCAGATAGATTACCTTCCTTTGGGTGCTTTCACACCTGTAGCTTGTTTGCTTTGTTCCAGTTCAGGTATTTACATGACATATTGTTGCATATTTCCCTTAGGTCTGTCACTCTGCATTTTTCTAAAGCAAACCAGAGGAAGTACCGCAACATTACTGTCTTATGAGCCTACTTTTCTCATTGCACAGGTAAACAAATGGGCCTTAAATAGCTAGTTTCAAACAGAAAGTCCAAATCCTACTGAGTGGTCAGTCCAAAAGTTAGACAAAATACCTAAAACAGTCCAAATTTAACACAATTTAGCTAACATACAAATAGGAGATCACAGTGTTTGTGGTGAACATTGTCAAATGGCACTAACTTGTAAGATAAAGTCTATATGCCTGCGCTAGCTATTCACAGGCATGTTCAGACATGTTGAGCTCTGGTCAATTAAGCCGACACAGCCAATATAAATCTTTATCTCCACCCTGAAGATCAACATACTGCAAGAACCCACTGCGCTTCAAGATGCACAACTGACAGCTGTTCTTGAATAGTGGAGCATTGTAACACTAGATCATTTGCTGCTACTGGGTAGAGCTTGTTTTACACACTACTAACTCTGGTGACGAGTAATGAGGGCGACGAAGTTTAACTGTCAAGTGGACGAAGAGCGCACATCCCTACTCGTCAAGCCCTACCAGTTCCTAGCTAACCCTACCAAAAAAATGACTGGTGGGACAATCGACTTTGGACAATGAGAGGTCGAATTTTGGACACCATTCACAAAATCACAGTAGTTTAAAAACAAGTGAGTTCATGCTTGAAAGAGTGGCCGTTTTACCGCTGTTGTATGATGGACAAGAAACTTCAACCCTAGCATTTGAAGGTACGAAACCAAGTTGGCTTAAGTGGAGGCCGATGGATGGGACAAATTCCCCTGGTTTGAGGAACTGGACATAATTCTTAGTTGAAACCACACGAGACGCTGAAAAAATTGATGTTGTAAAGTCCTGTGAAGTAGCCACACCCAACATCAGCTTTCTAAAGCTGAATGGATAAAGACAGTGACTCAAGTTAGCTTATTGCTATTTTTATGTAAACTTCCCCACCTACGACTGGTTTGTGTTGAGTCAAGCAGTCATTGTTCCAGTTGATTCCATTCTTACTGCAAGCAAACCACTTCAGGGTTGTACCGGAACAAAGCTGAGACCAACTCTAGTAGAGGATCTCAGCTCGCTTATTTTATTCAGACTGTGATTGATGTGTTCACATCCTGATTGTCCAGTTGACCAGGGTCAAGAAGGGAAATGCTGTGCTTCAGAACAAGTTCTCCAAACTATCCAGGTAAGAGGCACCCTTAGTTATTCTCTTTTTGGTGCACAAGGTGAAGAAGTGAAGTATGAGACTCTTATTGAGCACAGTGCAAGCACAAACTGGCTTAAGAACCAAGACTTATCCTAGCCCTTTCACTGTTTCTTTATCTCCATGGAGATTCAATGTGTCGCTTTGTTTTTCTGTGGTTTGTCGATGTTTTTGTCCCCTTCTCTTGTAAGCGGGTTTTACAGAACGATATGTCCATCAGCCATCCCCTGCTCCTCCGCAACAGGGCCTAAAAATACCTTCCCTACACCTGCTGTGCTTCACCAAGCCAACCCACACGTCATAAAACTTGTCTGCCCAGACACACACTCTCTGATGACACGAGCAGTCCTCGCAGACCCCGCTGATCTGTCTCCCAGCTGGAGGAAGACAAGCAGATCTTCTGTTTCCTGTCAGTGATATCCAGCATTGAAAATGAAGCTCTCGACCCCAAGATTGCCCAAACCACAACCCTGTGAGTCAGGTCGCCACTCGCCTCAGGTGACCCCAACGTGTCAGTGCTATCCTGTATCTACGGGCCAAAGAGCTGGTCATTCTTTGTCAACAGAGTATATCCCGTAATATCCACCATGTGACTAGATCAGCCAACACCACAACAGAAAGACAGTTGTATTTCTGTGTCACGGTGCAGAGGGTGCCCTCTTACAAAAGCATTGGTTTCCAGAAAATGATAAATCAAACGTATCATCAAGCATAAGTAACATAAAACATATTCAAGCCTTTTAATGGAAAACCTCCCCACACTGTGTCTACACTATGCCATTTCTGAGCGGTCACTCACTCCTCCACACACATATTGCTGCCCTGAGGGAGAGCCAGGCGCCAAGAGCAAATCCACAGTTCGTCCAAATCTCCCCTCTCTACATCAACGCACAGAGTGAGCCAAATACCCCCACAGACTTAAAATACAAAGATCCCTGAAAGGGAGAAAAACAGAGAGATGTGTGGGGCACTTATGTGTGTCGATGTGTATGTGTGTGTATGTTATAGTACTGCAAGTCCAAGGATGGGAGAAATTCAACTGAACCAGTGGGCAGGATAAGTGGCCAATGGTTTCACACAGACACACACATATATACACACACAGCCCTGGCTCTCTCCACTGGTTGAATAAGCAGTCTCTGTGCCATATTGGTTTGGGCCTCCCCCTCCTGTGTTAGACCTTGTTAGCCTGCCAGCCCTTCGTCTCATTCCCACACTCCCATATCTGGCTCTGTGGCTGGCGCTGGGATTCCCCCTCATCATAGACACACACTCGCACACACACACACACTCACATACATACAAAAACACACAAACTCTTCCATCACAGTCATCTCAGGGTGGTCATTCACTTTTTATGTGACCCTTTTTCTTCACCCACTCATTCTTTGCAACGATTACCGGTCTCTAACGTCTTTTCCCACACAGGCTGTCTCATCCCATTTCTCTTGTTTTGTGTTAAAGTTTGCATTACATCTGCATTAAGTTAGAGGGAAAGACAGTAGTTATGGATGTCTTTGTGGAATTTTACGCCAATGTGTTTGGTCTGATCGTGGTTCTTGGTATATTAGTGATTAAACTTGGCCTGGCCTGTCAAGAATAGGTGAGTTTTGTGTCAGAAAGGTTTCGGCTGCCCTATGAAGTATGGAGAATAAGTGCAACAAACACTAAAACAATTTGGCAAAGAAAAGAGAAAATTCTTCACATTTTAAACATTTAGTTCTGATTTTATTAGTCCACTGTCATCATATAACTATTTAACTCTGGGGCATGGGAGGTCCTGACATTTTTCAAAAGTCACTTTTCAGTCCATGTGTGGGAGGAACGCACAGCTCGGATTTTCTATTCATAAATTTTTGTTGTCTGTATCAAGATTGTGGCAGCTTTAATGTTTAGGTTTTTCAGCCACAGATAAAGGGGTTCAATGATCTTGGGCTTGACAGGTGAGCTGGTGCCAGTGTCGGTGCTACAGGTGTCATACAGGACCGCCATTGTGGTAAGGAACCTGAGTCTGTGTCAAAGCTGATGATATACTAGTTGATCTACATTGGTAGTGACTTAAAGATTAAGATTGCAGATAATGATGGCTTAAATGAGTTTTATTCTGGGTCTGAGATAGGGTCAGGAGCTTGGAGAGAAGCTAAGATGGCTCAGGCATCTGATGACAATGCCCCAGTTGCCTTTCTATGGGTTTTCTAGGCACACCCATCTAGGAGAAGAACTTGGAGTAGAAAGCCATATGGCATGCTAATGCCCAGGAGCTGGTAAACATTGCTGGAAAGAAGGATGTCTGAGTCTACTAAACTTAGTCTGCAGCAGCCGCACCTCAGCCTTGGCTACACGGACGATGGTTGGATGATTGGATGAGTAGATGGGTGAACAGTCAACTCCCAAAAAATCTGCAGTCCCTCCTCTACTAGAGCCAAACATACCCCCACCCAAGCTGTGTTTTTTATAGGGAATGGGTCAAAGTTTATCAGCTGTCTGAGAAATGACTGTCACTATAGGTCATTAGAAGATAGAAACTGATGATTGGCAGAACGGATAACGTGCTGACATTTATGGCAGAAATAAATAAGAAACTGCAGAACCAAGTGACGAGCCTATACTAAGCTGAGAAATCCAAATAAATCACTTCTACCCAGATTTGTGTTTGCTTTCCATCTTTCGTGATATTGTATTCAGTATCATTGTTTCCTTGTTAGAGGGTTGATTGACTTGGATGCACAAATTATTTCCGCTTACTATCTACTCCTGTACTACTCACCCGATCTGCCACTGAATGACTACATGACCACTTCCACCCAGAACAACAACAGCTGGCCTTACTGGCAACGAAGCTAAACAACTGTTAGTCAACCTCTGTGTGGGACATGTTTGCAGCTTGATACACGGAGATCACTTGTGGGTGTTACGGTTTACTTACTCATGTCTTCTCTTAAGACAAACTGAGAGCAGCTGGTCTGGTGACACATCTACAGCAAATAGATAAGACGTACGATAGCTGCGAAAAACAGCAGCCGTATCCAAACATGACTGCGTAGAACAGTAGAAGAACAAAACAATGATATTTTCAGAGCGATACGAAGACGCGAGGAAAGGTCATCACCATGAGAGAAGAGGATATTCGTCTTTTTCTGTGTGGCACTGAATAACCCCCCCTACGAATATCAGACCAGTGTGTGAATGACACAAAATATGTGTATTTGATGACCATTTACAGACCAACTTGTGCCTTCAAAACAAACACTGGAAAAAATAATTGAGTTTAAAGGGTAAAGCGTGCACTGCAAGCTCCATTAAAGCCTACTTAGCCGTCCTACCAGAGGAAGCACGGCTTTATAGCGCTGTGAGGGTCAAGAGAGGGCGGGTGATTTACAACCAGCAAAGGGCTGGACATGCTCAAACACCAGTAAATAATCTGCAGGAAAGAGTTTAAACAATCTCAGTTTCCTCTGCTAACCATTAATTGGACATTAAATCATGACATCATAGAAATAACTGAGATATTTGGACTAAAAAATTCTTCTCGAGGGAGGCAGGTTCAGTCCGCATTGGTAGAAACTTTTTTTTTTTTAAGCTGAGGTCATGACAATCCTCGGACGATGAGGTCAAAGAAGCATGAGAGTTATAGCCAGTGATGCACTGTTTTATGTGGTTCTAAGTTACCACAATTATGTCCACATATCAGAATGATTTACCTGTAACTTGGATTCAGAAGTAACAGAATATTTATTGTGAGTGAAATCTGGCAGACTTTGAGAGTGAAAATATCAGTGCAGACTTTTAAAGACAAGGCGGCACCAATGACAGAGAAAGAAGTGGGTGAGGAGAAGCAGAAGGGGGAGGAGAGGCAGTAAGGGAGGCACCGCGTTCATCTTATCAGCCCTCTGAGCTGTGAGTGATCTAAGTGGGCTGGGAGAGGAGAGGAGAGCCTCTGTTGTGCCCTGTGATCCAGGACTGTGCTTTTTTATGGCATGCTGCAGATCTCTATCAGTGTGGGAAAAGACTGGGAGGCCAGAGGCGCTGTGAGTGTGTGTGTGTGTGTGGCTGCACACGTTTGTTTAGTTTGCGTGCAGTTTCTGCCACTAAAGCAATCAAGAAGGCAGAGGCTTGTATGTTTAGAGTGTGTGTATGTGCGTGCATGTGTGTGTGTGTGTGTATGTATGTGTGCGCTTGGCTGCTGTAGAGTCTGATAAGGACCATAAACATCATCCAACAGCAGGCGGGCAGGTTCACCAACACTTAACGATAAGACAGAACTTTAACCCCACACAAGACTAACCGACCATTTAATTCACACACACTAACTCACACACAAACACACACACACACTCACAGTGTTAATATCAGGCCATAAAGTAAAATATGCTTCTGTGTGTCGCAATTAAATCTAACGTCATTGCCATTCCATCGCTTTAAATGTTCAAACGAATCACTCACGGGGAGTTGGAGTCATATGAGTGTCTTGTCACCAGACGGCTGTAAAACAGACTGATCACTCATTAGTAATGTCCTTTGCTGAGGGCTCCAGACTGTTAGTGATCCTTCATGCCTGCTGGCTTTAACTGCCATCAAAGGATGTTCAACACTGCATGATTTCACTGGGTGAGGCCTCCTAAAGGCAACAAAAACCGGGTCTGTGAGTGCGCGCACACATTCACCGACCCCTCTCTCTCTCTCTCCAGATACAAGCAGACGCTGCTGAGCCTCAATAAACCTGCAGCCAGGTCAAAGGGTGACGGGGCCGCGGCTAAATCGGTGGCAGGTTTAGCTATTAGTTGAGTCACAGATGAGTTCATAAGAGAGGCGCACTCCAGGGGGTCAGTGGGTAAATCACGCTCCATTTCAGCGATGCGTTCGGTTGTGTGACGCCACACACACCCAGACTCGAGCAGACATCAGACTCCAGGGTGACACACTCCATAAGGGACGCAGTGAGTCACCTGTAGACAAGAAGCCTAAGGCAAGGCGACACAAGCTGTGTGTGTGTGTGTGTGTGTGTGTGTGTGTGTGTGTGTGTGTGTGTGTGTGTGTGTGTGTGTGTGTCTGGCTCCAGTGATATCATCATCAGGAGACAGTGAGGGCAGAGCAGTCTGATGGACGGCACACTCCGCTCCCCTCCTGATCCTGCTGCCTCTCACTCAAATCGACCATCATTACACCTCTTCATAAAATAACGACAGGACAAGGACATGGATGGATTGGGACAGAGAGGGAGGTTCGGGGAGGGGGAGGAAAAGAAGGTGAGGAGGGTTTGTAAGCAGCCAGGTCGTGGCCTTGTGTTAAACCAACCTCTAGACAAGTCCACAGGGAGGAGACCTGGTCTGCGTTTGGCAATCAGCAGCCACTTAAACACTAAACTTGGAATGGACACAGACATTGAACAGCCATTACATCAATAGTATGGATGGGCAGCACATAAAAGGTGTACTTATCATCTGCTTTATGGCCGACCATAACCACGATGGATGGCACCTTAAGTAAATCCTGATCCCTTAGCTGCTGGAGAAGACAATAGCCAAGCCTGGTTTAGTGTGTGCTCAGTTTTTGTCTTCCCTTTTTTTCAATGAATCTCATAAAGACACTGAGCTACTGATGGAATAAAGGTGTTGTATTTCTTTTATTACTTTGTGACATTATCATAATACATCTATTCTTTGTAGCACCAATTACGACAAAAGAAAAGCCATTTTTAGTAAGGTGAGGTAGAGCTGTTGTGGTAAGGGGATTCCCACAGTGATTCAGAGTGGCTCTACACCTCAGTGTGTGGTGATATTGAAACCGTCAATAGTGAATTATTGGTTTTACTAGTTTACTTGCTTTTAACATGGAAGGTGATCTGAAAAATTACCAACACTTTTGCTTCAGTTTTCTTCAGTGTTATTTTCATATTACTTCGCGTCACTGCAGGAATGCAGCACTGTGGCAGCAGACTATATCTACATCAAAGTGAAAGTATATGCTAGTTGTGAAGGACTCGGTTCCTAAAAAACAGAACTTTTTGGTAGCTGAAAGAGGCGGTTCTTGTTGAGCCAAATGTTCTGAATCACTAAATAGAGCCTAAATTCCCATCACTCCAAGCGTTTACACAGAGGTAGACGAAGGATCCAACCCTGCTCTGACATGGTGAGACTGATCACAGACAAGTCCAGCAAGATCATATGGACTTAATAGTTTTTAAGTGATCTTAACAGGCATAACATGCTTTGGATTAAGTTTTTTACTAGACTTGGATCAAGAGAATCATCTCTGCTGCAGCAGGAAGAGGGTGGACCGTTGAACTTTCAACATGTTTTAACCAAAACACCAAGGAAAAAAACTCATATCCTCAACTAGATACTGCAACCGTGAGGCATTTATGTCTGTCAGTTTCAGTATTGCATTTTGGATCCACCCACTACAAGCTGCTGGCTGGCGTGGCTAACATGAGCTTCTTTGCGACTCTTTGCTGGACGAGGTGGCAGCTTCACTCTAAATACTGAATGGTGCCTTACTAGGTGAGACCTCATATTCAGTTCATCTCCTCATTTCACAGGGATCTTTTTTGGTGCAGATGTAAAATTGACTCATCGAGACAAGCTGGTTCTCCTTTTTCATTCTGCCAAAGGCCAAAATGTTCCCATAGGAGCACTCAGAACCGAACATAGCGAAGTTAAAAATAAATTTCATGTAACTAATTAATATCACCCCATGTGTTTTTATGATGTTCGCTTTTGTTATGTGGTTTTCTAGAGCTGAGTTGCTGATAGGCGAGCCTTTCCTACTGAAAGTCAAGCGTGCAAAACAACCACTAGAAGCAACAGGTTCAAAACAGTGCAAAATGTCAGTGGCCCATACAACCCCATCGCATCCTGAAACCTCCCACATCTGGGAACATTTCACCCTAAAGACTTCAAAGGAAAAAAGATGCCTGTAAAATCTGTCAAGCAGACCTTTCTTGTGATGGAAGAAGTACATCAGAAATCTGCAAACATAGCTGACATAGGGGCACATTGTTGCCATCTTTGTGACGACAAGTGTGACATTTAACTCTTTCTCATCACTTTATCCTCTTTACCTCAACATTCATCTCAAAATAACACACTATTATGTCAAGTCAAGACACTATACCTTCAATTTAAACTTTAAGTTGTGTGTATTTAGTTTAAAACAATGTGATTTCACAATCTAATAGATATACAAGAGTCATTGAATAGCTGGGCAATGTATTTCCTGATAATTTGATCTAATTTTACCACATCAGTTCTTTGTATTAGCTCAGTAAATGCACATTTGGCAGAGAACAAATCTCATACTAGATGGGGTGGCACTGGTACTCCAGGTAACCAGGAAAATAGATGTTTGTTGAATGATGTTCATTATGTCTTCTGTTTCTTAGAAATCTAAAATAGATGTTTAATCACAGAGACAGAGAGGCCCACTTTTAGGACAGTTCTTTGTGCATCAACATTGAAAAAAACAGAATCAATACAGCATTATTGGAGAATATTCTTTGTGGCAGTAGCTGAGACAGAGTACAAACTGATGTGACTGTGCATTATCTTTATCATCTCATTCTATCTTTCCAATCATAAAACTGCTTGTTGTATGCCGTCTTGTTTGCAAAGACCCTGCAGTGGTATCACATCTCTGAGCCAAGCTCCCACCACTCATCCGGCTGTCATTCAGTTTCCAGCCTCATGACCGGGGCTTATTGCCTACAGCCACCATGAACTAAACCTCAAACTGGAGCATGGCTGGGGGAAAACCGTAGAGTAGCCACATGGGTCACAGGACTCGATTCATCGTCTCACAGTCATTAAAACAGATGTTATCAACACAAACCTCAGTCTGTCACGTTACCGTGAAATGTATGTCAGCTGATGTACCATCGCCGTGTGATGTAGCTGAGTTGAGAAAGGCTTCAGTGACTCCTGTTGCTATTGCATTGTGGAGTTTCCTTACACGTTGGCTAGAAAGACCTCAGGCTTTAAAGCTGTTAATGTGTTTCACACCTTTAGGCTAAAGCAGCAGTTTAAGCCACAGCTTCCTTTTCTAAACATCAGCACCCATCTTTTGTGCTGATGCTTTGTTCTCTTGTGCTGCACAGTATGGGAGCAAAGGTAGGTTTGTTGGTACTTTTGTCCCAACCTAAAATTATAATGGAGTCAGGAAAATTAAGTCAAAACAACTTCATATTTGGATACTTTTTCCTAAGGTAAAGTGACACAGCGACAGTTAGCACCTTTCAACATTGACCGTCCCATAACCTTAATTCTTGCGAACAAATTAACAATCAAACTTAAATTGTTAAAGTGATGATTGTGAGAGAACTAAAAGCTGAATTGGTCCCACTCCAAGAATTCATGGATAGTTTGGTGGCTTCTACCTTACAAAGATCTATAATCTTACTGCTCATGAGTTCATTACACTATATCAGACCCACAAGCACTGATTTTAGTAGGTAGTTTCAATTCTAATCACAAAGGTTTGCATGAAAATGACATTATAGCTGTATTCACATATGCACTTCAAACTTTTAAAGTCAATCACACCAATTGGACTCGTGGAAAGTAGTGAAGTTCTGCATCAGGGAGCCCTCAAGCAGCTGTTTCTGGCACATGGAAAGTACAAACAAATCTGATTGAGCATATCGAGAAGCGTTGATGGGAGTTTATGGAGCAGCTTTGGCTCAATGGTAGAGCGGATTGTCTTGTCATCAAAAAGTTGAAGGTTTGATCCCCTACTCCTGAGTTTTACCAAAAGAAGTGATCAATGTCAAGACAGAAAACTGCGAGTTACTCCCAGAAGCACAGCCATTGGTGTGTGAAAGGGATTTGAACTGAAGAGCATTTGGCCACTTTACACAGCAGCCTCTCTGCTAAGAGTGTGTCACTGTGTATAAAAGGGTGAATGTGAGAAGTAGTTTTTAAGTGCTTTGAGTGTTCAGAAATAAAGAACGGTGCTATATTAGAGCAGTTCATTTTACATCTTATATTTTAGCATGATATTGCAGTCCACAAACCACTTATCATGTTAGAAAAACACCCATCTATGAATTTCTTCAGCTACAACCGCTGCTCTCTATATCCTCTTTTTTTTTTTTGGCCAGCAGGCTGGACAATTTACTCCACAACAATAACTACACTGAAACCTACTTCATTAAAGCTCATCCCCAGGCCAGTATGCAAATCAATGCAAACACCAAACTAAAGAAAACTTGTTGGGACTCATCAACAGCAAGGCCCAAACAACCAACCCTTTTAAGCACAAATGGCAACAGTCGATCGAACATCAAACGATCCCTTTGACATCCTCCAACCTCAATCCTTGTTGGACAGTTTGCCTCCTCCATCTAAACCCATCTAAGTCCAAAAGAGCTGTGTCTCTTATTGTGCTGAGTGACAGAGTGGCAGAGAAAGCAGTGTGTTGACAGAGAGGATGGAGATGGCAAACACCTCCGAGAGCAGATTGGCTCATGTCCCACATCTGCCCTTCGTACTGAGGCCGCTGTTGTTGCAGATTTGAAAAGGGATCGAGGTCATCCTCAAGAGGTTTGAGGGCAAGCCCAGGTCTCTGTGATGACATCCAGTGTGATTAAATGCTGGAATTAGAGGGACAGCAGCTCACATCAAAACAAAAAACAAGAAACCTATCCATCTGGACTAATTCAGGAGGGTGAGATTAGGTGCATCCTAAAGAGTGTGTGTGTGTGTGGTAGTGTGTGTTTCAGCCCCCTCCCATAATGAATCAGCGCACTTTGCTAATTCCAACAGTCAAAAGACCTCCCATGAAAAGGGACACAGGGCTCTTTTTAAAAAGGTAGCAGTTGCTCTGATCCCATAACTGTTCTCTGCACTGGATTGTACTGAGGACATTAGCATGCAAATATTGGTTAAATCCAGCTCAGTCTGAGGTTGAACAGACCTTTCACAACTCTCTGAAATTGAGGAACACAGCAGGTCAGGGACTCCACCAATACAGCAACAAAAGGTTTCATATCGTACAGACCATGACCAGACACTTCACAAATTTGAAGGTCTTCAATGTAAGTTCTTTCATTCTTTCAACACCTGTCAGAAAACAGATCACAAACACATTCTCTCTTTTACCAAAAAGTCTCATTTCATACAAGAAAATCTACATAAACAAACCACAAACACAGCAAAAAGAACCTAACCCCAAATTTGATCTTTAATGACTTAATTTCCCACTTCAAGGAGATATAAAAGGTGTTGAGTTAAGAGGCCAAATTAACATAAAGACAGATTCAAATTCTACTTTTCCTTTCCTTTACCTTTAATGATGCCGTCTTGTTATCTCTCAGGGATGTGCCTGCCTCTCAGCCTTTGAAACTAGTTGCATTGTTTCAGGCAAGGTTCGCACTGAGGTTATGGGTAATTGCGAAAGCTGTTTTACATTTCAATCGATGGTATAATCTCCAAGCTCCCATCTTCGTGAACACAAAAAACACTGATATCCTCCTAATTCAGCCATTTAGATGTGATGATGAAGGAACAGCCTGAAGTCTGCCGCGTAGCAGGAATGTCTTCATTTAAGCAGTTTTACATTGTGTTTTAAACACAAATGTACAACTCCAGATACTGATGGTTTAAGGAATTTTCTAGTGTTTTTAGTTGTTGCTCCAGTCTTACATTTTTGTTGCGTTAGCCACTGCAGAAATTGCATCATGAAGAATAATTTTTTTGATCATTATTTCCAAAGAAGTCCCTTGTCTACACTCAAACACCTTGCAAAACGTACAAAAGAACAAGGCTTTTCTGTGTGTTTTCATGTCGGTGTCCTTATATGATGTTCATTTGACACAAGGGTTTTTCTGTCAGTCTCTGTTAATGGCTGACCACTTCATGTGAAGATGAGTAGGCACTGTCTGCAGTGGCCCTTACTGCTGAAGGACCCTGAGGTAGATTGGCTGATCCTCCATTGCTGATGCAAGAAGTTGTATTTTATTTGGGGTCAGAGGAGGGCGCTTCTCTTCAGAACAAATGCTTAACAAAGCCTCTTTCTCATCTTTGGTTTATCAGAGCCTTTCCGTCTAGTAATGACTCAGTCTTCCTCCACCTCTCGCCACCATAAAAGCCTTCATGATATAACTTGGGGCCCCACAGGATTAGCATGGCCACAATTGACAGTGGGCACAGTGGCCAGACCTCCACACTTTACAGTCTATCCGGCCGGGCCAGCGGGGCAACCACTCTTCCTAAAGACCCACCTCTTTACATTTCTATGGAGCCACTCATTAGCTATGTAGAATCCCCTCTTTCTTACAGCATCTTCCCTCTTTGTGCAAAGGACAGTCTTTGTCTCTTCTAAATGATCCCACACAAGGCCCATTTTCTGGTTAATACATATTTACAGCCATGTAAGGTTTTTGTGAGGATCCTGTAGTTTTATGTTGCGGGCCGTCACTCTAGACACCATAAACCCATTACCAAGCTGTTTAGGGTAATTGTTAGACCGTATAGTAGTTACACTTGTCGGGCTCATTGAGTCAGCATCTTTAGGGTGGGCAGATGGCTAGACAACACATACTGGGGATTCCCGGGGTTTACAAATGCAATGGACAACCTGATGCATTTCAAAACCTGACAAAACACGTTTTTGTTGTACTACAGTAGCAAGCTTGGCAATGCTTGATTGGGGAAAATAAAAAAATATATATAAATGCGAAAATGTTAGATACATGTCTAATTAACTGGGGTTTTCTTAGACGGGTTATGAGTTTAGCTTTGTGTTTGTTATGAACCCCACAAAACTTCTTGATTCTTAAAAGGTTCTGAAAGTTGAAATCAGCCCTTTTTTTCTGTGTGTGTTTACAGTAGTCTCTTGGGGGGTAGGGTCACCCGATGTCCTGAGTGAATTAAAGAGGCCAGCTGTGATACCGCCTGAAAGGAACATGGAGACAGACAAAAGAAGAGATCCCTGCGCTCCCCTGAAGACAAAAGAGACAGAGACAAGAGGCTGAAACCACACAATCATCTCACCATCTACAATGGCCAAGCTCCTGTAACAAGCAGGATCAGGGGGATCTGCAAAGGGCTAAGCCAGCCGTGGCCACAGGTTTCAGTGCAAGCCATTAATTCCACTCTGCTTAGCACACAATTAATTTCACTCTCATGCAGTAGCTCAAAGCTTCACGATAAGAGGAGGGCTGATTCCCAAAACCAAGATTAAAAGGTGAGGACTTCTCTAAGAAGAGCTCTGAGCAGATGCTATTAGACCAAAGAACAGAGGAACTGAGAGCAGAAGAGGCCAATAATGAGAAAAAAAGTAAACTGCCTTGAAAGATAGAGTCAAAACTCTTCACATGAACTGCGGCTAGCTACTGACTCAACTGACTGAATGGCAATGCAAGTTAAGCAATTTGTTGGCGCATGCAGAGTTTTTCAATCTTCTTTTGTTGTTGACTTTGTATGAAAAGATCCTTGAGACTAAGTCCGGATTTGGGTGTTATTAACATGCCTAACAAAAATGAAACAATCAAGTTAACCAAGCCGAAAAAGGTGCCCCTGCTGACTTTTCCATTTGAGCTAATGTGACCACAGTTAATGCTCCCATGGGCTTAATTCAGCCACAAAAGTAGCCAAAGCCAGGGGAAGGCTAATTGTTGGTGGACTAAAGCACCTGCCAGAACCTGAGGGATCTCAGGAACTGCAGAACTGATGATTTTTCCAGAGGGGAGTCCATGGTACCAGATTAGATCCCTGGAGTGCAGACATCCTCTTGGCTCCCTTCGTCTTGTGCCCTAATGGCTACCCTGCAGGGCACCGAGATTTCTGTCTGCAGCGCCTCAGGGCGTGTTAAACCTGGTTATTCCCCCAACCCCCATGATTATACATCTTCAACACAGTAGTCCCTTTTGAGAAAAGGAATCTTGTTGGTTTGGCTAACAGAAAAATGCATTCAAGTAAAAAAAATTGTCACACTTCCCAAAAGTTGACTATCAAAACTGCAAAGGGAAATACGTTTTGGCACAATAATATTAATCTCATTGGCTTGAAACATTGGGCAATCCAAAATGTGTGTTGTTAAAATATCATACTCAAATATGAGAGAGACCAGGAAAATACAATAGCCTTTTTTAAAGTCCAACAAGTTGTTTATGAACAGTCAATGGGGAAACTTCAACTGTCTCATTCTTGTCTTTGACATTTTTGCAGCTACCACATGCAGTATGTAAAAGTATCAAATCAGAAGTTGATCTTATGCTGAGGCGTGTTCATGTTGGAAAAGTTGTCAGGGTGGCTTAAACCAAAAAGTGGCTTTGGTTTGCCTTGAAAACTGCCAAATTGCATTTACAAATAATTATCCTATATCTTAAAATGTACTTTTTAAATAACAAAACAAACCACCGTTTTTTTTTAAAGTTTGATACATAATTGAAAATGAAGCTTTCACTGCTGGATAAATGATTTCCTAAACATGACTCCAAATTGCACAATAGCTGAACTTCTCGGCGACCTTATCTCCTACACTGATGCAGCTCTGGCAGTCGTAGCATATTTGCTTGAGTGTTCATCCATCTCAATACAGTGGAACATGCATGAGGACTGTCAGTGCTTTGCCCATGGCCAAGTGTTTTGAAGAAAGCTGTGACCTGGGTTTACTTGATGACTAATGCTCCACAACCAATCAATTGGGTTGTGAGGATCAGAGATAAGAAGCTGGATCCGTTGGCCAGAAGAAGCCTGTGACCTCACAACCATCCATCTCTGTCCTCATCTGGTCTTGCTGAATGTTTGGCGCTCAGTTCTTCCATTAAACTCTTTTCTGTTGACAAAGCAGGCAGATGCTATCAGTGTCTGTCCAGCTTGGCCTATGAGGACATAATACCACGCCCACCTCTCTCTCTCTAAACTCTCCATGTGCAGCTTGGCGACCAGGGTCCTTTGCAAAAGACACAGAGGACATTGTAGCGCAGCTATGGCTCCTTTTAAGAGTCAGGACACCAAACTAAACGTTTCCAGAGATGAGTAATGGGATCTACTGGCCCCTATTGAATATGTTCTGAAGACAACCCAGCGTTTTTGAAAGATGCCACAATGGCTAATTTCATACTGAGCTCAAACGTAATTGGTTTAACCATCTTTTTCTGCCAAAAGATTCTCATCTAGTTATTTAAAATCATGCAAAACTAAAAAAAAGAAAAAGCTAAGTTGTCAAAACTTCTTAAATAAAATAAAAGGGGAAACAATAAAAGCTTTATGGTAAAAGCCAATGCATGAAGATTAGTTTTTTGAATATTTTTGTATAACAAAGATGATGACTATTGCTTTAAGACATTTAAAGAAAAAAGTTTAATAGTGATGTATTTTACATAAATTTGAATGTTCAGTGTTGCAGAGAGGCAGCCTTACACGTCTTGTTCTACTCTAAACATGACAAAATCCTGACCAACAGTGTTGCAAGGTCTGATGTTCTTCAAGTGACATTTCTGAGAAAACCTAAATGCTTCGGTTAGATCTGGGTGATCACTCTGATCTGAATGAAACTTTTTATCAAGTTCTGCAAAAACTGTGTTTTATCTGGTTTCATGCTTGGCAGATAAGATGAAGTACACACAGAAACCTGAGAAAGAGGATGGAGAATTTTGAAATGATATACGAATAACAACATCTAGTAGTTTCTAGTGATTGCCCAATTGTTAAATTTTTATTCATCCATGAATAAAAACTGAACAGGAAAGATGCACAAAACCAGTGACAGGAAGAAGGATGCCCTTAAGAGACAAAGTTCTTAGTTGTTTAAGTGGAAATTTGAATTACAACAAACAAACCATTTTAAATGGAAGACAACACTTACAGTCAAAATAAGGCACAATTCATCAAATGGTTGAACTTATGATCATAGGGTCTGTGGAGAAACAGTAACATATGCCTTTGGTCCTCTATGCAGGTTAATGTCCACCATATGCCTGTGTTGGTTACAAGTTGCTCTGATTGAGTGGTTGTATGCTAATCTGCATATCCCTGGAATGAAATGCAAGTATGTTGCCAAGGATCATAAGTTCAAGTTAGTTACTAATGATAGGTTGTAAAAATTTAATGGTGCTAAAAATTGATTAACATTAAAAAAAGCAAACAAATGGCTACCAATGACTGTATGTAGTGATGGTCGGTACGAATAATGTGTATAATAGTTACAGCTTATCTACTCTTTAAGGGTCAATTGCATCTAACCTATCAACAAACCAGGCCAAAAACAGTTGAAATTATCGTACTATTATGCTACATTTCATCACATTTGACCTCTCTCATAACCTCTAACACTGCAACTGGGGTGTAAAAGCTATAAGGTTGAAAAGTCTAAATCCCACTCTTGACAAGATAACCTCTCTCAATTTAGGTGAGCTGTATCCAGGTGCTCCTTTTTCTCACGCTGTTCTGTAACACAAACGCTCCAAGCTGAAATTCACTCCACCAGACCGAAGAGACTCACCGTGCTTCTCAAACAAGTCATTTGCCTAAGCTGCCTGTCAGTCAGAAGCATTTGTTTTCACGGGGAGTACAACTCTGTGGGGCATGGAGGATGCTAATTGTGTTGATTCGGAGGGGGTCCCTCAGGTGTGTGAGGGGGGACACCTGTGTGAATACACTGGCTTGTCTTTAGGTTTACAAAGAGCCAGTGAGGGAATCACTAACACACCTTTTCTTTCTTGACAGGCAGACAACCTGTGAGGCATCATGGGGTTTGTATCCAGCAGAGTCTTTCTTGGTTAGGTCTAATGTTAGTAATTATACCACCAGCATGAACCTCATACCATTAACAAAACAGAGGTGAAGAAAGAGGGAGGAAATGTCAGCGGGAGTCTGGGACAACTTAGTACAGACATGACAATGGGAACAGTTTGGAAGGACCTGAGGCCGAGGGTTTACATGAAATGTAAATTAAGTAATGAGTAACGTTCAAGTTAATGAGAGAAAATCATTCTGAAACTCAACTTATTTTAATGAAACTGATACAAAACACTCTTCTTATGCTTTTATGATAGTCTAGTTTCACTAACTGGGAAAAACATATGGTTAACTGGCATTAAAACCGGCTCATTTAAAACACTATACCTTCCCTCCCCTGCCCACTTGAAAGGGCCCAAATTGCAGCACCTCAAAGACAATATGTTTGTGAAGCTTGGAAGAAAAAAAAGCATCTGTGACATAATACCAAAAGGGCCATGTTTGAGAGGCTAGAGCCAGAGCTGGTGAACAGTCTTTGGAGTGGTCAGCGTGGAGAATTCCCTGTACTCCATCATTCTGAGAGCTGTGTCCAATTGCATTATGCCAGAGCAGCAGGTAGCCCTGGCTGCTGGGGTCGCAGCTCTGAGAGCCTCGCCCCATTGGCCCAGGGGCTCCAGCCAAGGTTAACGGGTCAGGGCCTTGTCCGGACACAGGCCTGGCTCCCGGCCAATGGGTCGAGCTGGTCAGCGGTGGGGAGCGGTGGTGGTCAGACAAATGATTTATAGACGCACTGGACGGAGAGAATGCAAAGAGGCTGCACTCTAATCTGGCTGGAGATTTTCTTCAAAGTTCCTTTAAAGGCACAATATGTTCATGGCCTGCCCCCCACTACAAGCACTTGTGTTGAACCCTGTTGATTTGTTCTGCCAGCTATTTAAAACAGGGTTGTTGTTTTTTTTTTTTGTGCATTTAATTTAAAAATCGGGTGCCATTTAGTCTTTTATTTTTCCCCTGCATATGTTCCCCCTGAAACCTTCTGCTAATGAACAAAACCTGGACAAGTTCACTTCTGTAGAATTGTGGTTTCTAAACTTTCTATTGGCAAAACTAAAAGACAAGCTTGATCTGTCATTCTGTTGTGAACTGTTTATCGCTTGCCAACCTATTTAAGTGATTCCATCAAAGTGGGACACTTCAGAAGTAAGTCTAGAGCTTCAAAAGTTTTCTGGTCATGGAAGGCAGACGAGCTCTGATTGCCCTAAAGGGCGTTTTGTTCTTTTAAGGGTATTGTGAACAGATGGACTTCATACCCACTCACTCAAATCAAAGATGGCATTTGTTTTTCATGTTGGATGATTTTAGGTTTACAGAGACAATGCAAACAAAGCCTTTCTCTTAAAGAATGATCTAACAGCAAATCAAGTCAAGGGAAACCTTATGCTGTTCAGGATTCACCGATGACTCACTTAATCTTCATTTGGCCAAACCAAGAGAGCATAATGGAGGAGTTTGTTAAGGAAACCTGTGTTCAAAAGTTATCAGTCCAAACCGCTAGACTTGCTTTATATCATCACACAAAGTAAACACTTGGCAATCAACATCATAAAACATCAAGGTAACAGCTGGCTGGTTCATATAACCAACAATGTAACCCACAAAATGAACAAACTATGCATTTCTATATGGCCACAAGGACAACTATTGAGCGACATTTCCCTCTTTCAAGAAGTCATAAACTATCCCATGACTGCAGCAAAGGCCCAGCATGTGGTTTATTTTTGGGGGACACACTTAAAGGTCAGGCGGTATTCCACAGAAGTCCGTGAATGTATTCTTTGGGCAGAATCACCAGCTGCCATTTGCACGTGGGTGGACAGTTTGTCTCCACTGGCCTGCAGAGCGGAGGCCTACGGCCATGAAACCTTGGTGCCCTTTCAGCTAATTGTTTGTGGGTTGCTTTTAAATTTATTGACAGTCCTGGTGATATAGTGCTTCTATTGTGTCCTCAGCCTATTGTGAACCACATTAACTATGGCTCCCGCTTTCCTGCTCTTGTGCTCTGCCGCTGACCAGGGGCCAGAGAGCAGTGTGATGCCCAGCGGGAGTGCCCTCTTCGTGGGCAGGAGTGGAGACCTCTACAGGTGCCTGAGTCTTTCTCTTAGCAACGCCCTGCTGCTCAAAATTTGTTGTCCCCCGGTGGGTGTCTTTCTGAGAGTGTCAGCTGTGAGGCCCCTGATGGGAGATTTGTTGATTTGATAACTCGATTAGGCTCCAGGATAGATGACACGGAGGCAGAGAGCAAGTCTGCAGCTCCCGGGGAGGTGATGGCTCTTCTCCTTAACCTCTCCCCGGGGGATCTGCCTTCTGCACAAGCCAGGCATGTGGCTCCAGAAAGCCTTTTCTGAGCTCCTGGTTATCAGACTCCCAGGCGCAAAAGTGCAGTTCACAAATGAAGGAAAGAATGATGATCCTTTAATAATCTAAGTATGGATACATGGTAAAGCTGTTAGACTTAAGATAAAAGAAAATGCACTAATTAAAGGCAATAAGTGTGAAAGTTCCTTATTAAGTGGATTTTATTTTAGACTTTATTATCCAAGCTGGCTTTTACTTTGTGCACCCTTTTCCCCTAATTGGACAGAAACCATTTGCCAATTAACTCCAAAATTGTTGGCTGATTGCCCTCAATTGGCACCAGATATCAGCGTAAAGCTTAAGCTGAAGTTGAGAATAATGTTATGGACTTTGTAGATTGGTAATTAATTTTGAGCCATCAAAGCACGGCTATTTTAGTCGCTTCAGGAGGGATATGGATGAATCCCAGGTAGTCAGACTGGTATTATCAAGTAAGACTCTAAGGTACACTAATGCGTTCTCACCCCCTCCTCTACAGCGGAATAATCTCAGCTCACCGGTGTCAGGCAGGGCTGCATTACAAACTCTTTTTACCCGGTGGTTAAGTTTGAGACTCATGGTGGATTTAAAATCAAAAGAGCTGCTCTCCCTCGACGAGGTTGCTAAAAGCTCTGGCATATCTTTGCAGGTGTAACAGGGTCAATCTGAAACCACTGGAGAGTTAATTAGAGATAAAGTGTATGTTAATGGAAAGGCCTCGATTCTTGGGCAACACACCCAACTTGTACACAAAGTCTGTATGCCAAAAGCATAATACTCAACTTCACGCATGAAGTCGTGTGCACAAAAACAATAAAGCAAGGCCATTATGAAAAAATGCTTGTAGAAAATCACAGCATCGTGCAAGACAACTACTGGGGATTTCAGAATCCATCTACCTGGATCATTGCTGAGCATGATCCAACAGCATCAAGTCTGAACACTGATCTATATTGTCATGTTCATCTTCAAAACACACGCCGTTACTTCGAAATTCCTGCTGCATCCCTGTTTCACTGATCCTTCCCAAGTACTAGAGATGCACCAATCCTTTTTTTTTCAGATCCAATCCGATACCGATACCCGGGCTGAGCATATCGGCCAAAATCCGATACCGATCCAGTACTTCTGTTGAATGAATGAACTGTATACCTTGCCCTGTGAGTGAAGGCATCAGGCTTGACATTAGCCTTGTTTAAAAAAAGGTAACAAATTAACACAAGTATTAATGTACTTAATATTATTTATTAACAAATAACTAATTGCACATTGGCACACAGCAAAAAGAAGTTAGACTTCCATGTATTAATAGAAAAACTAATTAAAAGTAAAAAAAGACGATAGGAACGCTGGATTCATCAGATACCCGATCCAGTTAATTTGTCAATATCGGAGCCAATATCCGATCCATCAGACTGTGGCACCTTGCCTCGTAAACCCAGGTGCATGAAAGCACAATCAGACTTTGACTCCTATGATCCAAAAACATTGATTTACCTTTACTGAAGTTTGTGACAGCTCAGCTAGAAGCCCCCTCACCTCACATACTTGTCAAACCATAGATATTAACATGAAACTGCTTTGTTTAGAGTATTTTTTCTTTTGACCATGTATGACCACCTGTTTCATATCTTTAACAAGCATGAGAGTTCTGCTGATAGGCTGGCTTTAGTTTCACAAGACAAGTTAATTTCCGATCAAATATTTATCTTCAAAATAATTGATTCCCCATGAGAGTCATGGTAATCAGTTAAAGCCAACAGTATGACTTCCAGCATAAACCATAAACACTCAGATCTGGAAGATCATTACATGGACAGAGCGCTCTCCAGCTGTCCTCACACATGCACATAATGGACACACACATGCACAGCTTCTCTCCATGCCTCGACTCAGCTCCACAGAGCCAGGCAGCGGCTCAGACAGGATGTAGCACGTGTATCATATTAGGCAGGCCTTCCCAGCCAGCAGGCCCAAAGGTGCTCTGAGATCCACAGCTGGTCGACTCCCTCTGTCTCTGTGAGCTGCTGCCCAGCCTCCAGCCTTCTCAGACTGATATTTCACACATCCCTCCGCCCGTCTCGCAGTCCCAGTCACAGGTGGGAATGCATTCACATAGAGCAACAACAAGAGAGCCTCTTGTAATGAGTATGAGTGTGTTTTCCCCACAGAGGGAGCTCAGACAGGGGAAGCCATTCAGTGGGCCTCTGCGGGTCACGCCTGGGATGTGGAGGGTCTGACCCGACGTGGCCCACATCAAAGCCCGGATGAACACAAACCGGAGCAGGAGAGTTCAGGTGAATGTACGGATAGAGAACAGCCCTGTGTTTACCGAAGACAGGAGAGAAGTTGGAGAATGCCGCTGAGTGCCAACTCGTCACCCCTGAGCAACTGCAGGAAGTAGCAGTGTGACGCTCGCCATCTGTCCACTTCCATGGGATCATGGGAAAAGCACTGAGCTATAATACCCTTGTGAACTAAGACACTGTTTTTGTCAATATGAACCCCTGAAATACCATAGTGATATCTCACAGGTAAGCTTGAAATACCAGACTTCTGTGTTGGACATTTGTCCAAAAACAGACAGAATCTACAAGGAGCCACAAAATAGAGACATATGAGACAGAAACGAATGATTCATAAACATACATCAGTTTTAACCTGTTTCCCAGTCCTCCTATGATAGAGATTATGTAGTTTACAGGGATCTCTTGACTATCCACGCTGTCCTCAAATAATTAGAACCTTCTGCTTGGAGAGATAGTGGCTGCCTTGTTCAGAGAAAAAAAAGGAATTGATTTTTTTTGACTATGACCCCGTGCCCTGAATGGAGCCGAATCCCAGACAATGACTGGTTAATGTGGTCTTGTTATCAGAGGTCACAGATGTAACTGTGAGAGGTTAGTAAGGGACCCTGTTGCCCTGAAGAGGTCGAGAGGGCAAATCTAAAAACTTTTCTAAGCCTAAACTCCAATTTGCATGTTTCTCTTCCTTTATCAGAATAAATTTAGGCCAGACGTCTGGTGCACTG